GGATGCTAAGGAATCTCTATAAACTTCTAACACATGGTGGTCCAAAATGCCTAAGAACATTCCAGCTTATTCCCAATAAACAGGATGGCTACACACAGGAATCCTTTTATGTTCACCTTTGTCATTCATGTCTTATTCTGCAGTGCTGATGAGCAATTGCTGATGAGCAATTATGTGCAAGTCTGCTTTTAGGTAAGGAAGCATATCAGCAATATCTGTATCACTTGGTAATACACCTACAATAATTAGTGATTCATAAGCTTACTCTTGGCTCATACTTACTTCGGTTTTTTCAAGTTTTCTCCAATACCTCTTGGAGAAAGCTTGGGATCATTCTCACTGGGTCACACGTCACAGTAGGCCACTATGGATTGGGAGGTGCAGTGCACGTGTTCTCATTGTGTCATGCAAACCTAGATAGGGCTTACTAGGAAATGCAAGGTGTATGGGGGTGGTTTGAACTTGGATGGGAAATTAAATCCCACTGGTTTTACAGAAGACAACCAATTCCTTTCTGCTTCTTTGATTTCAGATGATGGCAAATTGTCCTTTGATGAATTCAGAGCTTACTTTGCTGATGGAATCCTAAGCAGAGAAGAGCTGCATGACCTGTTTCACACGATTGATACACACCACACTGAGTGGGTAGCATTTGCTTTAAATTCACTCAAACATAACGGTCAGCTATTGAAAAAGCAGTGCAGTTTTGCAATACAAATTAATTCAGTAAAAACCTGCTTTATAAATAACATATGAAATGCCATGGATTTAACCCACAGCCTTTGAGTAACCACTACCTATATTGGGTGTTTCTAAGTAAAGACATTATTGACTTTCCCAAGTCTCCAGGTAGAATTAATCTATAACCCAAGAGTAACTTACAGATTCAGACTTTCTTGTATGTTTTGCATGAATCGTTTTGCATCTTCTTCCTACTTTTCCCTGAAAACAGCTCATGATTCTTCACAGATGTATCTTTGAAGCCATTTGTTTCATATCCTTCATTGAAGTTTATCATTTGTTTACTGGGAAACACAGTTTAGCTGATTCTCAAGATTCTCAAGCTGATCCAGTTCTCATATAGTGACTATTTCTAGGTTTAACTGAGGAGTTGTTGGCCTGAGTGGGAGTGAATTAGCACATTGCCTCTCGTGTCCTTGTTGCTTCTGCTTTCAACCCACATCCCAGTAACACAACTTTCCTGGATTGTAGGAACCTAGGAACTCTGAGTAGTTTGGGATTTAAACAAACCAGAGTTAACCCAACAATTGTGCATGGTTTATTGTTGGCTTACCTTTGAGCTGATTAACCCGTAAGCAACCCAAAGTTTGGATGTCATAATAACAACCCAGGAATGAGGGCATTCCTGAATTGCTCACTGAAAGTGGAAGTGGTGAGTGTGTGGGATATCACACCCTTGTTTGCTGTCATATGGACATGGTTAAGAAGTTAGCCTTCACTTGCAAACTGGGTCCTTGTGGGCAGTAGAACAATAAGGTTCGTGCGTGAGAAGAATCAGAGGCTGCAGCGTGGTGGTAGGAAGATTGGTAGGAATGGCAAAGTAGCTCTCACAGTGCAAGAGGAATCCTAAAAGAGGGGTGTGTAGCCTTCAGCATGGGGAGTAAATTCAATTTCAGAGAAACTCTTGATGGCATTCCAGTAGTGGATATGGCCAAAGGCAAGGTGGGTGGGGACAAAATCCCAGACTATTTTAGCTTAATGCTCTTCCTGCCAGTAACTGTGCCTCAAGGGAGGCATCTCAATGTTTTTAAGTAGAAACAAACCCACATGAAAACCAGCACATCACCATATGTTTGGCAGTTGGGTAGTGAGCAAAGGGAAGGTGGACTGAAGGCTGGATTTGACCCTCAGGCTGGAGGCTTTGCACTCCTGATAAAAAAAGGTCTCTTTATCATTAGAGAATGCTACCTCCCCTAGTTGCAGGTCCTCATTCTGGGTTCTAGTCCCCAGTCACTGACCATCATTCACGCTCAGCCTAACCTACCTCACAGGGCTGTTGTGAGTATAAAATGGAGAAAAGGAGGATTATGTAATCCTGTTGGCTTGAAAGAAGAAAAAGAAGGGATATGAAAGTACGATAAGGATTGCTATCTCTTTTTTTCTCCCCGGGCTCCTCTGCCTTTAACAGGCATGTCTCAATCAGAAATTCAACAGGTCCTTGGATATAACGATTCAGTTACTGGGGAAGTCATGCCTGTTTCTGCTCTAATGTCTGCATTTCATGCAACTGCCAAGCTAGTGCTAAGAGAAACCCAAGCTATGGCTAAAGTTTCAGGGAGAATAGTTTCAGCCGCAAATTAAAAGAGAAACTTAAAATGAGACCTGCTGTATGATAATTCTGAACTACAGTCAGGAGGAAAGGTCTGGCAAAATATCTCCCCAGCAGGTATTTTTAAATGTTTAATGTTACCCCTCCCAGCATCTCCCATCTGATTCCTCTGGCTGGAGGAGACTGGAACTTGTGGGACTTATTTAGACTCAGTGTGCATAGGTCTGCAATGTTAGAAGCTCCAAAAGAATATGAAAATTGGTCTCTGCCTTTTCCTGCATTTTGCTGGAGCATAGCAAAACATCCTCTTTTCAGGGGATTTGAAATTACAATTAGAGGCTCAGGGCTCAGCTGGTGTAGCTGGCCTTCACCCAAGCCTGCAGTTACCTTGACTGAGCCAGGCTCATTTCCTGGCTGAAAAGCAGCTGCGGCTTCTGGCCTTCCCTTCCCGTCTCTCCTTTGTGAGAGCATTCAGCCCTAGCCAACCAGGTCCTGGTTCAGGACCGATTCTGCATCTGGCGGGGACCTTCTGATGCTTGTGTTGCCCCTTCACAGTTTGATGAATGAGCATGGGAGGTGGGGTGCTGGTATTGCGGCATTACGGCAGCAGGCAAGGGCGGCCATGCAGTCTACTTTACAGGATGCCAATGTGCAGAAAGCTGTCTGGTCCAAGTCCTGATTAAATGGTATTTTTAAAAAACAGGAGAGCTGCAGAGGCCATGAAGTTGCCCCTCAACAGTACCTGGGCAGCAGACCGAGCAAAGGACGCAGGCGACCTGCTCACAGTCTTCCACACTACGGTGACCTGCGCTGCCATTGTAACTCTATATTCGCTTTGGGGGCAATGCGTTTTCTCTGCTTTGCCAATGCTCTAGTGAGCAACGGAGACTCTACTGTGACCTACACATGTTCATTAGAAAGCATGTAGAGAGCAGACATGGGTGTGGCTATACTCATGGTGGGAGGGGTGGTCTTCCCCCCACGAGGATGCCTCCGCGCTCTGGATTCTCACGGAGGTTTTCTACAGACCCTCCTGTGCGTTCTAGCCAAGACACATCGGGAGGAACATAGGCTGCTGTTTGGGTAGGCTGCTATGCATTGCCAAAACAGAAGATACAGATTTGCATTGTATTATTCATATGTAGAGATGCAAACTGAGAGAAAAGTGTTATGATTTGAATAGAAATACCATACATCTCACTATAGTGGGGAAGGCTGGGAACCCGTAACCTGTGCGCCTACTTTGCCTATTGTCCAGGTGATCTCTGTGAATGGATCTCTTAAAATGGATCATTTTCAGACCTCTGTTCTCTCTTTTTATTTTTGTGATTTGACTTTTAACTGGAGAACAATTTAAAAAGAAGATGCCATCAAACAAAGGACTCTCCTCTGACAGCTCTTCAAATACCTTTCATACAGGGAGCTGTACAAGTAGGACGTATGGCCAGCCCTGTAAGTTCAGCTGCCCCAACTATGCCATGTATGTTAATTGAAAATCCTGAAAGTGTGTATAAAGGATGAGAGACACCTCTGACATAATGTGCAATCTGGCCTTTGGCATACATAAAACTATCAGAGGCCCACTGAGTCTGTATGGTAGCCTTTCGGCTAGTTTTAGAGATAATACATTAGGGCTTTTCTGAATAAACAGTTCACAGTATGCTCAGTTGTTGCTCATTAATTATATGGGATGCAGATTTTTTCCCTCTAAGCAGAACATCTGTTGTGAGGATATTGCATTTTCCCAAGACTCAAACTGCAAAATGAGATTATTAGTTTGGCTGTCCTGCTTAGCACAAACAGACCGATTGCTATGGCTGTGCTCAGAGCATTGCAGGAAGGGTGATAAGGGTGGAATGGTGCTTGATGGCCTAGAATGTCTCTATATTTCACTGAAGTCTTTTGTCCCAGAGGAGGAGGACAGCTGAAGTGCTGCCAGGATGTTACAGATCATGATGGAGGCTCTCTCTTCCACTCCCCATCTCCTGGAACATGGACAGTCCCTTCACACACACAGCTATGCAGATATAGGCACCCCCTTCAGGCCATGTGCTGAATGCAGCACACAAATGAGAGCCAGGGTGGTGTAGTTGTTAAGAGCACGGGACTGGGACTCAGACGATCTGGGTTCTAGTCCCCGCTCAGCCATGGAGCCACCTGGGTGACTTTGGGCCAGTCACAGTCTCCCAGCCCAACCTACCTCACAGGGTTGTTGTTGAGGGGATAAGATGGAGGAGGGAAATGATGCAGGCTGCCTTGAGCCCTTTGTAGGAAAAAGGCAGGATATAAATCGGGGAAAAAATGTGTCCAATGTTCAGGCCTTCACTCAAAGGGAGTTTGGCTCTTGCGCTGAAAGAGGTTCAACACCCCAATACCAGTGGGATGTGGGTAAGATGGAGATGAGACAGACTCCACCAGCCTCAAAGCCCAGGGGCTCCTAAAATCAGGAGCCCAGCTTCAAATGCACAGCACAGCTCTGTAATCCTTGTTCAGGAGTTTACCATTTATGTTGCTCACAATGGCATTTTGTGAGTGTCAGAGCACTATTTAGAGAGTCGACGAAACAGTTACAATACTCATGTCACCAGCTGCATACTCAATGCAGCCTTTTGAATCTTTGTCTTTTGCAAGGCAGCAAGTTGTGTTCCAGATCTATAGATGAAGCTGTTGCTTGAGAAATCATGCCTATTCTTTTCTTGATTCGTTATTCACAACTGCTCCACTTTGTATTCTGTTGGCATAGCACATTCATACTTAGGTTATACAGACATGCTAAGCTGGGTAAAGCTGATCTGAGCTGCATACCCAAATTGGGATAAAGACAGAGAATGAAACTTGATGTAGGCTTGCATCATCTCATCACTAAGGTAAGCAGTGCTAAATGTTTTGTGAGCCACCCCGAGGCTTCGGCGAATGGGGCGGCATAGAAATTTCCTAAAGAAAGAAAAAAAGAAAGGAAGGAAGAAAGAAAATCCCGTTTCTTTAAAAATCCAGCAACCAAACAGCCTATCTTATACTGTTGTGCTCTGATGTCTGCACCAGCTCCTTATCCTCATCCAAGCACAATTCAGGTTGCTGCTTAGAACCCACAATCTCATAGCTTAGAGATCACCTTCTTCATGTCAGTTTACCACTGAGGATGACCTCATAATGCTAAGGTGTGGAAGCTGCAGCCCTCAGGACCTCAATCTTCAGGCTGATGCAAGCTGCAGCAGCATCTAGCTCTCCAGATGTTGCAGGCCACCCCTTATGGAAATGTATTCACGTCGCTGCTCTGCTCTGCTCTGTTCTGGCTCTGTGTGTGTGTGTGTATGTCAGAGAGAGAGTGAGAGAACACAAGAGGGCATAATGAGGTGGCATAATGAGAGGAAGAGCCATCAAGTCCTGCAGAACTGCAGGGTTCTGCTTGCATTTGTCTTTAGCCTGCCCGCTCTGAATCTGGTTCCACCCACTATCAGCCTCGATTGATTAGAACACAGGAAGAGCCATGCTGGAACTGGATCAGGCCAAGAGTCCATCTAGTTCTGTACGTGCAGCAGCCAGGCAGCTGGCTGTGGGAAGCCACAAGCAGCACTGGGCAAGACTGCCCACAACACTGCAGACAGGCACTCTGCCTCTGCTCAGAACCAGTAGCCCACAGTGGCCTCATTCTCCATGAATTTATCAAAAGCTCTTCAAAAGACACCTGGACTGGGGATCATCACCACATCTCATGGAAATGAGTTCCATAATTTAATTCTGTACTTTGCTGCAAAGCCCTTTAATCTGTCCTGAATTTTCCTCCAATCAGCTTCATGGGAAGACCATGAGTGCCAGGGCTGAGAGAGAAGGGGGAAATGTCTCCCTACAGCAGACATAATTTTGTACCCCTCTCTTATGTCTCCCCTTACTTACTTGCTTCCTAAGCTAAACAGCCCCAGATATTGTAACTTTTCCTCATGGGGCAGTGCTCCAGTGCCCTGATCAGTTTAGTTGCCCCTTTCTGCACTTTTCCAGCTCTGCAATATCTTCTTTTTAGGTTTGCTAACCAGAACAGTACACCATATTCTAAGTGTGGTTGCACCATAGATTTTATAGGGGGATTAAGATATTGGCAATTTTATTTCCATTTTTTTTTCCTAATTACACCAAGCCTGGGATTTCCCTTTCTCACAGCAGCTGTGCATGTCACTGAACTCCTGCCAAACTCCCTAGATCTCTTTCTTGATCAGTCCTCACTAGCTCAGAGCTCATCAGTTCATACAGATTCATCCTTTTGGTCAGCTGTTCATCATAATGCATACACTGTGCCGGTCCATATTTGCCAGGGAGGTTCTCTGTCCTTGGTTTGCCCCTGTTTTTGTTACTATTACATTCATGGAGCTATCATTTTACAGCATTCAGCCCCTTCTCCTGGTGGCAAGGAGTTAAGTCCCCTCAGCCACTATGCCTATGTCGTAATCCAGAAGAGAGCACCCGTGTTTGCCATTTGCTCCTTCGAGGCCATTCAAACAGTCACTAATTGTATGGAGGATGCCAGGTCTGCTTTGGATCTGTGTGTCACCCTCGATCAGCAGGGCATGAGCATTTTTAGTGGAGCCTCCACACAAGGAAAGGGGATCTCTTTCCCACTGGAAACTAGCCTACATACAACCCCCTTGGAAGCACTGCTCTGGCCTTTGGGCCTAAGCACTTAATTTGGGCTGGGAAACCTGTTGCCTTCCAGATGCTGTTGATCAGCAACTTCTCTCATCTATTACCATTGGGCTTGCTTGCTGAGGCTGATGGAAGTTGAAGTCCAACATTTGAAGAGCCACAAATTCCCAACCCTTGCATTAAATCAAAGCAAGGAAACACTTGGTTGATTTAGTCTTCCACACCCACCCCTGGTGCCCTGAACCTTCAGGTTGGGTCAGGCTACACATCTGAACTAGTAAGAGAATGTAAAATGCATTGCTCATGTTATGATTCCTTTCTTATTTCAGCAACCTTGACACTGAAGAACTGTTTGGTAAGTGAATTTTAAATTGAATGAGGAAGCCCAATTCATCACTTTTGGATGTGTCACAGACTTGTGGATTTGGGCAAAGGGAACCTTTGGTCCCATTAGCTAATGATAGAAAATGCAAGTGCCAAGAACTCTTAGGGAAGTTGTGAAGGTCTGATAAAACTTTACCATAAATGTGAAGGGTGACTAGAATTACCTTGTGATGTGGCCCTCATCCTAATTTCACAGTTCTTGGCAAGCAATCAGTTTGGGCCTCCTACATGGAGGAAGGAAGGAATGAGGGGGAGAAAAGGGGCTGGTAAAATGAGACAAAGAGGAGTAGCTTTGAAAGGGAAACTCACACCTCTTCTGGCTCTGTCCATCCCCACTATAAGCTTCAGCCCTTCAGCCATGAGGAAATAGGCTCTCAGCAGAAGAAAGAAAGCCTGGCCCTGCTGCATCAAATATGGCACCTGCTTGAGGTTCATCCCATTTCTTTGTTTTTTAACCATTTCAGGTGTTTCCTTGCTTTTGCTCTAATAAACCCACAGCTTTTGTGCAAACATGGGATGGCTTGAGGATTTACCACATTTTGCCCAATACCAGGTTGGACTTCCACAGCAATGTGGGAGCAGGGAAGTCTTCTACTGGAAACCAGACCCTTATTCTTCTTGTTATACTTTTATTTGATTCATAGACACTTATATACTTTAAAAGACCAGGCTCTTTCCACCTCGACTTGAACTGTGAATTTCTATTCCTTTTAGAATATTTTTCCCAGCACCTGGGAGAATATGAGAATGTGCTGTCAGCTTTGGAAGACCTCAACGTATCCATACTGAAGGCAATGGACACCACAAAGGAAGTAGGAGACAGTTTTAATGTTGCTTTTCTTTCCAGTTTTCTGGCAAGGCAAATTCCCATGTGCTAAGAACCACAGTGTGAAAATTGATTTGTGAGAAAATATTTGTCCTTGTCTGTATTGGGTGGTGGGAAAAGGTGCAGGGCAAAAAAAAAAAAAAAGCTCAAGCATAGGTTAGAGCCTTTCTACGTGACATCTTTATTTTTCACTTACTGTGGTTTGCAGGTACTTTACGCATTGGCAACATCCTCCAGGGTGTCTCCAGGTTTTGCAATCACGTCCATTGCTTTGTTAATGGGCGTGAGGTGTCATGGGAACAATGCCAAGCCTTGCATTAGGTCCATAAGTCCCTAAGTTTGAAGGCAGAAAGAACTGCATTGTTTGAAATGTTTTTGAAAGTCTGCTTCTTTTCCAATGAAGGGATTAAAGTTACATTAGAAAAACATGTTTGGCTAATGCCTTGTTGTTGTGTTACTGAAGTGGAACATTCAAGGTACCCAGTGAAAGCCTTGTATATTTAGAGTGCAGTGTCTGGGGAGGGGAAGGAGATGGGAAGAAATGTGGCATATAAATCCCATTATTTCTTTCCTGGAGATGTGCTGCTGTGAGTCATTTCTGTTGCAAAATAGAACTGTGACTAGATTAACAATTGGTCTGAGAGAGACTTTTCTTGCATCTGTCAGGTTACAATTTGCCTGATCAAAGTAGAAAGGGGGAGAATTGTGCTTAACCATCTCATCATCTGGCTTCCAAAACAAAAGTATTAAAAATTGAACTCTCAAAGCCATGAAAGTGAAGAAGCATCTTGCATCCCATTATCTTTATCTACCTTGTGTTTTTGTAAGTTTTGTACTCCAATACAAACCCAAATAAACAGCACAAAACTGCTTGCTGCAACCATCAAAGGTGCACTTCATATTGCATTTTGGGGGCCCAGACCTTCTGAATCAGTGCACACATTTTAAAATGTGAGTGTGTGTTGCAGATCCTTTCACAAAATGGATGCCATTGGCTGGATCTGCCCTTTCACAAAATGGCCACAGTTGTGGCCATGTCACGAAACACTTTATTTCCCAGAAGACAAACTGGGGAGCCTAAGAGAAGACTTGAGGTTGAGTTCCAAAACACAAAAGATGCAATTCTTTTGGCTGCCACTAACCATCTGAATTTAGAAGGTTAAAGGCACCCAGTTAAGTGTAGGAGGAGTGTGGAGGTGAGTTGCCTCCACCCTCTTCTTGCTCTCAAAAACATTAGAAGGCCAATTTCAGTTGTCTAAAAGCTTTCCCCTCCTTGCAAGGAGGAGAGGCTGAGACACCACCTGGATCTGGTAGAAGCTGCTGGTGCATGACTCCTTCCCAGCCCCCAAAAACCTCCTCAGCACTTATCTTGAAGATGGTCTTCTGTTTTTGAGGCATGGAAAGAACAGCTAGCAGGGAGGGAACAGCTGGATGAGCCAGGGAGGTGATCAGTGCCTCTAAGAGGGAGGGTTTCATGCTGCCTTAAAGAGGTGGTGGTGAGGGTTAGGGGCACTGATCTGGACCCTCTCAGACTGAAATAGCTTTAGGCCAAACAGGCAATGGGCAATGTTTCCTGGGAAATGGCTTTGAATGGGTGCAGACAACCACGGCTGTCATTCTTGAATGAGATTGATTATCCGAATCCATTTCAGTCAGGGGTCATACCAGGTTTTAGTACAGAAATGCCTTTGCTCATCTGTATCATGACCTATATTGGGAAACTGTGCTGTGGTTCCACTCTTAATTGGAGGGTTGGCTCCAGAGGGTGGTAGTTGGGGGAAATTGCTAGACTTTGTGGGGATTCCAGTATGGGGTTCCTCAAGCGTCAGGCTTGTCCCTCATGCTATTCAACATCTACATTGCTGAGTGGGGTCACCTGGAGTTTTGGAGTGCACTGTCATCAGATGCTGAAGACATACAGCTCTATTCCTTTTCATCTTCAGCAGGAGAGGTTGTGGATATGCTCAGCCAGTGCCTAGTCTAGTTGCAAGAATGGATGAGATGACGGCAAACAAACTGAAGCTCAATCCAGACAAAACCAAAATGTTAAGGGGGTGGGGGAAGCTCCTGACTTTGTGGATGATAATCAACTGATTCTGGATGGAGTTGCAGTCTCCTTGAAGGAGCAGGTTTGTAGGTTTCAGGTGCTCATCGAGTCACCTTTGTCACTTGAAGCCCTGGTGGTCTCAGTGGCATGGAGTGCCTTCCACCAGCTTCAGCCCATCTATGCCCCCTATCTGGACGGGGATAACCTGTCTTCAGTAATTAATCTATGCTCTCATAATCACTAAAGAGGATTACAGTAATGTGCTCTATATGGGGCTGCCCTTGATTCAGAAATGGCAGTTTCTGCAAAATGCAGCAGCCAGATTAATAACTGACAATGTGAATGTATTACTAGTTCTGGCCTGCCTGCAATGGCTTCCTGTATGTGTCCAAGCAGAATTCAAGGTGCTGGTTTGGATCTATAAAGCCCTTCAAAGCTTGCAACCACAATACCAGATGGATCGTTTTCCCAATATACCAGACACTACCTTCAACATCTGAGGTCTTCCTCCAAATGCCAAGGGAGTCTTAGTTGGTGACAACAAGGTAGCCCCCAAATTATGGAATGAGCACCCCACTAAGGCCCACATGGCACCAACTGCACTATCTTTTGAGGATAAGGTCAAGATTGTGTTTTTGACCAAGGCATTTACCAACTTCAAATATGTTGAGGTGTAGGGTATTTCCAGTAATTTGTTGTTATTTTGCTTTAGCAGCCTAGCAGGATGGCATGGTTGGGTTGTTTTAAGTTGTTAAAATTTGGTCTTAAATTTTTATTGTAATAGTATGATATTTCTACTGCTATTTTATTTTACATTGCATTTTACTATATTTATTGGCAGGTGTTTGCCACCCAAAGATCTTCAGCTTTTGGGTAGTACACAAAAAATAAAATATAATATAAAATAAAGTATAGATCTATATAAAAGTACATATGCTTAGTATAGATCCACAATAATGATTTCAGGGCCCCTGTTCTCTCTCTCTCTTTCGGCTCTGTATTTTTTTACCTGAATAGTCCTTCAGATAGAAAACGCTTTTGCTCCATGGCCATTCTAGCTGAGGACATCTGTGGTATCATATCCCAGCCTTTCCTAATGCTTGGAAAGAAGAGACGTCAATATTTAAATTCTGCTTAAGTGCACTCTGGCCCCCCCTGCAGCAGAACAGAAGTCCCACTTCCTTTTAATGGTCATCTGGTGGCACTTTCTCCTGGTGGCCATTTCCATGGGCAGTGAACTATTGGGAGTAAAGCAGGATGCAAGATGAGAATTGAAAGTTAAGTTTGGAGGAGGCTTTAATTGTCTGAAGCAATGGACAAGATGGTTCCATCTCCTTGATCCATGAGCCCTTTGAATTTAATGGAGCTTACTTCCAAGGAAGCAGGTATAGGCTTGTGCTCTCATCAAATGACAATGTTATTTCATCTCAAGGTAACCAAAAGCAGCTGTTCCCTACCCACAATAGGCTCTTATTATTTTTTCACACCCATGGTATCTATTTTAAAATGGAACATTTAATCATCATGTTAGAGTTCTGTAAAATTGTGGAACAATGTAGCCTGCCCATTGTTAGTACTTAATGTTTTTATAAGAATGGTGGACTCGGTAGGCTAGAGGTGAAAGACTCAGGAAAAATGCCAAGAACTAGAGTTGTGAGGAAAGAAATCTCAAGCTGTGAATATTGCCTCTTGTGTTCCCCCATGCATGGCAGAATAACAAAACTCCTGGGGCTCCCTTTGATTCCTTACCAGCATTTGATGCCCACAGAGTCAAGGGAAGTCGGTGATTAAATTTTGCAGTGAGCAAGAGGAAAACTTGTATGAATAGTCAGGATTGTCACATTGTGCACATAAATCAATATAGTTTTTAATATATGACACATTTTTCAATAAAAGCACATGTAATGAACTCGCCAACAGCAGCAACATTCAGTCACAATCAAAACACATCTTCTGCTGTCTCTGTGTTGGTCCAAATGGCTAAAATCACCCCCTGCCTGAAAAATGCAACTACAGACACTTCTACTAGGCAGTTACAAAATAATCATTTCTTTCCACCTTTTCCAGCCCCACAACTCTCTTTGTAATGTTTCCTAGTGCTACAAATATTCAATGCGGAACTCAATGGGAGCAAGCAGAGCCCTATAGGCAGAAAATAAAGCCATTCATCCCGCAAGAGACCTCTAGAGAGCAACTCCTTAAGTCAACCCCAACTAAAAATGCTCCACTCTCAGTCTGCTGCTGCTGCATGTGGCTTCTAGTCTACAATGTGGGGAGATGCCACTGGCCCATCTTCCTTAGCATTGCTACACTGTGCTACAATCCACAGTGGCAGGTGGGACTTCCACACTCCTACTTGGAGTTATTTGGAATCTGTATACAAAATATGTGCAATGGTGTGGCCAGGTGTGGACTTTGGGGCCAAAGTACATGTGGGGGGGGGGCACACCAGTCAGAGAGCAGCAGGTGATGAGAGCAGCAGGAACAAATGCCATTTGATTGGTGTAGTGATAAGGATGCTATGATTTCAGTGGAGTTCGGGTGTAAAATTCCAAATGCTCAGAGCTGTGTTTTAAATCAGGGTTGGCAACAGTATTGTAATGGTTGCACTAACATTCCAGAAATGCAGAAGCAGTTTTAAAGCATGGAATGGTGCTTGAACAGGGAAAGACAAATGTTGTTTATGTGCTTTGCAGCTGCCATATGTCTGTCTAATGACCTAGCTGCCCCACTGAACATGTGGCCTATCATTGAGTTATGGTTAACACACTCAAACTGCAAAAACAAAATTATTTCCCTGAACTCTGATCCTCATATATTCCAAAGGCAAGGGAGAGAGATTCCCAGTCTCTAAGAGAACAATCGTGTGATTCCCTAGACAACATCAAGACCCCAAAGAATACTTTGGAGTGCCAGATCTGAGGTCAGAGACAGACTTTGGAGCTGGGAATACATAGTCTGTCCTCCCTCCTCTCTCCCTGCAGGCAGCTTTGAAAGAAATGTACTGGTTGCCTCTCTGTGGTTGGGAATGCCGCTGGGAGAGGGATTAGAGCAGACACTGTGGGAGTGGTGAAGAGTGGAGACTGCACTTTGTGAGATATCCTGCTCCTCTGAAGCTTCCTTCTCTCCGCCACCAAAGTGGGCCAGCGGAAAATGGCAGAAACAGAGAGTGGGAGTAGTGGGGAGATGCAGATTGCCTACATTTATTTCTGTTTTATTGCATTTATGACCTACCTTTTTCCTGTTGTGAGGAACCTAAGGCAGCCCACACAGTCCTCCTCCACTCCATTTTATCCCTACAACAACAGAGAGTAGAAGCAGAGAGTAGAATCTGGATCTCCCAAGTCTGCAGTCCAACATTCTGACTACCACACTGGCTCTCATTCTTCTCACTTGATATAAGATCCTGGCAATTCTCCATGTTTAGAGGCTTACAGGCATCTGTGCTCTAAGGAACATTAACACGCTTTTTAAAAAATTGATGGACATACATTGTTTTGACGTGGTATGTATGCTAATCAGGATTGCCAAACTACTGACAATATTACTTAAACTATATATTGATAATTTAAAAATACATCCTCAAATTAGAGGATTAGGGAATGATGGGATTTATTTATGTGGGATGAGTAACAAATTAACTCATGCCTTTTTAAAACCTTTTAACTCCTTTCCCCTTGTAACAATTTGCTACATTTTAACCAGCTCCTTTGATGTACTTTATTATATTTCCCACCCTTTCATATATGAAAGACAGATTGCCTGTCTTCCAATGTGAGGTTCTTCCAAAAGTTTCTCACCCTAAATCTTTAAGATAGGGTGGTATAGGAAACTAAAAAAACCCTCCCTGAATGTAGTAGCATGTCCCAAGTACCTCTTCAGAATTTCTGATCCAGGGAGACATCTCATCTGTAATGTTTACAGAATGTGAACATCTTTTGATCATCTATCATTGAGAAACATCATTTATATCATCAGTCCTCATGTAGATCTTTAGATAATGGCTTTGTTTTGTTTTGGTTAGAGACCATTGGTTACAAAAAAACAGGAGTTTGAAGGTGATTATTTCAAACAGGCAGATGTCTGCAGTAGCATTTGAATTTCATTGCCCATTCTGGAAATATTCTCACGGATAGCTCTAGCCTCTTGTTATGGAGAATCAAAGCTTCCAGCTATAAAATTAGGTCTGCCAGATGCAGCAGCTTTAATCCAATTAGAGGAGCCATGTCAAATAATTTAGGGGGAGGAAGAAATTAACCTTCCTGATACAAATGAGTTCTGTCGCTTTCAAAGGGCCATCACAAATGTTTTCACACAGAGCTAGTGTCAGCTTCAGTGTGGTATCAAGGGGAGTGACAGATAATTTATTCTGCCAGGATTTTCTCTGTTAGTCTTAGAAATAGCAGCTATTTTGATTGGTGATATCATAGGACTGATTAATGTTCATGGATGCTAAGTACATGTGGGCGATGACTTTAATGCCTCCCAATAGGCAATTAACATGGATGATTCATGGGGATTTCAACAACTGTTTGATCTTCCAGCAAGAACAGAACAAGCTGAATAGCTTGTTCTTCTGGCTTAGCAAAAACATTTGATGTGCAGTATCTTGAGAGATGAATCTATGGTAACAAGCAGGCTTATGGCAGGGTCAGAAAAGGAATTACTAAAGCCAGACTACTTGAAAGACTGCCTTTTCCTTTCTGGCCCTGCCCACTCCTTATGATCTTCTGGAAAACTCTTCTTTCAAGTGTCACCATCAAAAGCCTTTTGGGTGGCAGTATGTGAGAAGACCTTTTTGGTGGCCTCTCCCAGGCTTTGGACCTCCCTCCCAAGGGAGGATGGTTTTGCTCTACTATTTTTCTGGCAGCAGGCAAAGACCACTTCATTCAAGAAGGTTGTTGGCCAGTAAGGGCATCTGTAGATTCTGCAACTGTTGTGCTTTTTAGCATTTTATTGTGTCCTATTGTTTTAAGTTGTTTTGTAAGCTACCTTGAGTGCCAGTTTGTGGTAAAAAGGTAGGGCATACCTCCAATAAATAAATTCCAAATTCTGGACTATTACTTTATTCATCACATTTAAATCTTGCCTTTCTTTCTTGAGGGAACTCAAGATATACAGTAATGAGCACAGGGCTCCCAGTCCTTCACCCTGGCAATATCTGTCTGTCTGTCTGTCTGTCTGTCTGTCTATCTATCTATTTTTCGATTTATATCCTGCCTTTTTCCTACAAAGGGCTCAAGGCAGCTTACATCTCCTCCTCCATCTTATCCCCACAACAACCCTGTGAGGTAGGTTGGGCTGAGAGTCTGTGACTGGCCCAAAGTCACCCAGTGGGCTCCATAGCTGAGCGGGGACTAGCACCCAGATCGTCTGAGTCCCAGTCCTATGCTCTTAACAACTACACCACCCTGGCTCTCTAGATCTAGACCTTAGGGTCATCAAGGTTTCTGCTTCATGTGCCTTCAGGGAATTATACAGCTGGTTGATTTCTGCAAAATGGTTATGGAATCCTATTATTTTGCAGCAGAAATCTATAACCTGTCAGACTTAAAAAAAGAAAATATAAAACCAACAGGAAATTATAAAGAGTTGTTCTATGCTCATAGCAGAAACTGTTTATATAATCATAAACCCTTCCTTTTTGGTCTGGTTGCAAAATATTCTGGTTGAATATATTTCCCTTTAATTGAGATGTTGTGGCTTTGGCTGCCATTTTAAAGGCCAGTTTACTCACTGAGCTCTACATCAGATAAAACACACTAAGATTTGGTTTCATGGCACATTTTGTATTAATCTTGTGTTTCTGCTCAAAGGACATTTTAATTGGCTGCCATTTGTTAGGGGCTTTTTTTTTTAACTTAGCCTTTAAAAGCTACCTTGGCAGCCACCCCTGGTTTTAAGGACAATGCTAAAATTAATCTCTTAGAGATAGAATTGGAAGTAGCAAGTCAAGAAATGTTTAAAAATCCAGGAGAACAAATTTCTCTGCAATAGCCTCAAAACACAGGGGATCTCTTCGTCTAGATGGAAGAAGGAAACCTAAAACTGCTAGCCTGCTTTAAGAACAGACCTCGTAGTTCTCATTTTGGTGTTGGAGTAACTGAATAGTTGAGTTAGATTGAGTACAGATAGGATAGAATTTCCTGCCCCAAGAGATGCTAAGTAGAAAGACAGATGTCCAGACTAAGGAACTGAAGAGCTGCAGAAGGCAATTCTGCTTAGATGGGTAGTCTGGGCTCACAGGCACTGGGAATTCTTTAAACAATGTATTTCCTCTGGCACACTCACACTTTTCTTACAGCACACTGTTTGGAAGTAACCGATCTCTTCCCAGCTCCCAGGACCCATTGTTCCCAAAAAATACTTTAGAACCACAATCTGAACACATCTACTATAGGACTATAGATGAAGATTTGTGTACAGCTGCTAGTTTGGAGCGTACATGAACAACTGGGAAATATTAAGCTTTTCCATTCCACTGGTTTCTATTTCTTTTCTTTTTTTTTTAGAATTATCAGGAAGCTTCTAAGTTGGAACAGTTTGTGACTCGCTTTTTACTGAAAGAAACCCTGAATCAGCTACAGTCTCTCCATAACTCCCTGGAATGTGCCGTGGAAACCACAGAAGAGCAAACCCGTCAAGAAAAGGGAGATTTCCCTCCTCACCTATCACCACACAACAGTAGTCTATCACGAACTGCTCCCAGGTTGCTCAATTGTTCTAGACCTTTTGATAAAGAAATCTATTTTTCTTGTTTCAAGGATCCTAATATAAATTAAACACTGAATAAATATTTTTAAATGTCCATGCATGGGTCTCTGTTTCCTGAGTTAATTTTAAATGTGAAATTTTATGTACTTAATTGCTCCTGACAAAGGAATTCTTCATTCTGAAAAGCACTGGTCAGTTTTATAATAAAAACTAAGTGGCACCTTTGAGAACACATTCTTTTTTTACATGCTGCCCTGTTTTGGTGTGTCCCTCCTGGTTTTTGGATGCACCACATCCCAAGTACCAATGTGTATAGCATGAATGGTTGCAGCCAAGAGACTTTCACCCCCAGAACTAAATGTATGGAGACCTTCCCACCTCAGGTGCTATAAACATGGGTGCCTGGGATTAGTGCCATGTGATACCCGGGGGCAAAGCTACTCTGCACAGGCCTGCCTTTGCTCACATGGGAGATTTCCTATTTGAAATAACACTGTACTCTCAGGAGCAAGATTTTAGTGTGAGCCTACACGGAAGCCCAGCCCTCCTCTATGTCTTCCTTGCCTCCTTTCCAATGTCTGGCTTGTCCCACAGCCATTCGTTATGGACGTATTTGGTTCGCAGACTCAGAACACAGGACAATGGAAGAGGTTGCTCCTTGTAATCACTTTGTAGGGGACAACAGCTGCTGACCTTGATGCCACTGTTTTCCTGGGGCACCAGAATCACTGGCTTCAGTGCCAGCAGTTGTACTCATTCCCTTTATGCCCAGATTCGCTTTCACACACGAAGAGCTCTATGTGCTTCTGAACCAGAAATACAGTGCCAGCTCAGCTGTACTTGTGCTCTCTAAGTCAAAGACAGATCTGATGTGTGGGGGCAGTATGTACTATTCGAAGATTAATGGCATTGATTTCTAGTAATAAGTGAAAGAAAACGCCCCTGCCGAGACCACTGCCCAGCTCCGTAGACCACCACTCCCCTTGTTCTTCTGCTCCACTGTTACTAGACCTTCTCATCCTTAGGTTCTGTGGAGGGTTGTCCCCCAGCCCTCCTTGCTTTGCATTTTACTTCATTGTAGCTATTTATTTATTTATTTTATTTATTAAAACATTTCTATGCCGTCCCTTGCCGAAGCCTCTGTGTGCCACAGTTGTGACAGATCCTCAGCAGTTTAAATATTTATGAACATTATGTGATTTACAGCAGCTCAGTTAATGAAGTTGGTGTTTGAATAGGTCTAGAAACAGACTCAGAATGAAGAAAGATGCTCACAAATCCAATTGTTTTATGTACATTTTTTTCTTAAGACAAGGGCCAGCAAAGCCAGAAGTGCTCAAAATTCAGCAGCCAGGAAGACGTTTAAGTAGAAGACTCCAGAGGAATAATAGTTTTTCTCCATCCAGCCCTCTCTTTAATTCAGGTAATATCATTTAAGTATTGTATTCTATAAGTAATGTATTGTATTTTTGCTTTTCTGTGTTTTAAAATATACTGATGAAAATCAATTGTAGGCATACTTTCCTGCTGCTTACACTTAAACATCTTCTGCATCAGATCTTGTTTGTCCTGAAAAGTGCAAATATGTATGATTATAAAAAAAGAATATGTGTACTTGTTCCACTCCCAGTAGTGCGTGCATCTGATTATGATGCTGCAGGGGAAGAAAGAGACCTTTAAAAAGTGGTTTCACACAGGGAAGTGAAGAAGGAGGAATGGTTCAGCTGATCTTTCATTTCCATACCCACCATACTGCACTTCCAAGCTCCCCATCCTTTCTCTTTGTAGGGATGTAGCAGCATCCCAGTCCTGACACACAGGTCATTATCACACCTAAGATAATCATAACATATGGTCCATAGAATCTCCAAATTCTAGTCCCTGAACTATTATCTGTGTAAGCAGAAAAGCAATTTTAAAGCTGTTAATGCAGAATCAGTTACTCTGTAGCATAATAAACAATGAGCTTTGCTTACAGAAAGCATAGTTTAATTTTTCTGGCACTTTCCAACACAGTGAACCTAAAACCGCTTCATAGCCTATGGAGTCACAGACAGACTTGGGTGTATTGCCCATAATTCAGAGGGTCTTAGAACAGCAGGAATAGAGAGGAATGAAAAGATATCTATAATCTTGTCATGGAGGCATAATTGTGTAAATCAAACATCCATCATCAGCCGAATACATTGCACTGCAAGCAAAAAGGAGGAGCAACGTACACTCTGCCCACTGGACATGAAATACAAATGTGAAGGGACTGTCTATTCACTGTGAACTTCTCTGGGTATCAAGATCTGCAGAAGAGGGTCTTTTGAGGATGGCCATAGGAGCCATTTTTCAGACACACGAGAAAGGGTTTTCTCCTGAATTGCCCCCAGTCGATGAAATTAGTTTCTCAAGGACCATGACTGCCCACCCCCAGGATTTAAGAGGAGCATGAAGATGCATCTCTTCGGATGAAACATTTAAATGTGTCACTTTTGATGTTATTACTGCATTTGATGTTCTTGTTTTTATCATTTTACAGTTTGTATTATTTCAAATTGTTGTACACCAATTTGTACACAGAGCAGAGTGGTGATCTACAGAATGGTTTCTTGAATAAAAACATGAGACATCTCAACTAAGAAAGAGAATCCATCTTCATGCTTTAGGGCTCAAAGTGGTCTTTTAAAAATTTTTACTAATGCACCTCTTGTTGAGAAGAGAGTCAGGTGCCGCAAAAACAGAACTATCCAGAGATGCCTGTTTCGCCTGCTGAGGCATTGGGAACACAGAAAGCTGCCTCATATCAAGTCAGACCATTGGTCTATGTAGTTCAGTATTGTTGTCACTGGCTGACAGCAACACAGGGTCTTTTCTAGCCTTAGCTGGGAATGCCAGGGACTGAACCTGAGACACAGTGCATGCCCAGTGTGTGCCTTACCATCACTGAGCTATGGCTATTTTGCCATTTTAGCATCAATTTTGAAAAGATTCTGAAAAAGTAGGTACACCTGTGCAGTAAGAGAACCACAATGGAATCATTTCTCTGCTCTTGCAGATTGTGTCCTCCCAGTTAAATTGAAGCAACCATAACTGCAATAGGACAGCAAAGCTTGATTATTTCTAGTTTGCATTCAGAAGAAATGTGGAGTTGTAGAAATACTTATTGCAGGAAAATAATGTCCATGAGACACATTTAGGTGAGCATCAGCCAGGTTATACATTAAAGGGTCTTTCAATATTCTTATACTGTAGATGAAAGCATGCATATCACAATACATGAAGTCCTAACTTTCCACAATATTTTAATTCTGTTATTTATGTCTTACTTACTTAAGGCTGGCTGGAGGAGGACAAGCAATGGATGACCCAAATAAACAGACTCCAGAAGCTGATTGACAGGCTGGAACAGAAGGTGTGTGAGCAGCAGCCTTCCTTACTCTTCCTCTACAGCCTTTCATCATCCCATTCATCTCCCACCTTTGACTGATAATAGGACAACCGCTAAGGCTGCTGTCCTGTACACATTTGCTGGGAAGTAATTTCCAAGGAACTCAGCATATCTTACTTCTGAGTATACATATTTGCACTGCATATGAGCCAAATCACACCTTATCTTCAAGCCCCATTTTGTCACAGGCAAGCTATTTCTTTTTGCTTTGATTTAATAACCTGTAAAATTTGCTTTGGTGTGGAGCCAGGAGATGTTGATAAGAGAGATGTTTATTTCCTGAGCTGCTCAGCCAAGTAGGGAAGATGACAAATAAAAATTATACCAATAAATATACCAGACAATTACATATGTTATTTTCCTGCAGTTTTGCAAGTATATAAGCAACACTACTGGGGTTTAATTGTGAAAGACATTCCTGTTACATCTGGAATAATCACTTCATTGTGTTTCATCATAGTGATTTTTACAACATGATGTTCTTTTTTCATGTGATGAATACACATCCCAGGGAGCAAACTCACACTCAAGATGAGATTATTACCAGAAGAATAGCTTGTTTGTTAACATGTCATCATAAAATAAGGGAGACAAAGCAAGTTGCATTTGCCAGATATTTTAATAGATGAGGTTATGGTTATTTTTAACCAGTGTATCTGAAAGGTTGTAATTTTGCAAAGGGATTATGATTCCTTAGGATCTAAAAGTGCAATTGCTCCCACATTTATCTAGATATCCTTGTTTAAATTAAAAATGTCTGCATGCACAGGTGCACCTGGTTCCAGCACCCAATGCCTATCAATGAGATGGATTGTTTCCTTTTGTTTCCTGTCAATAAAGGGATACATTTTGTTTGGTATCAACAAGAGTGAATTTTACTGTAAGTCAGGAAGAAATCCTACTATGTAGGAAATGACTTTCAATGTATCTTGAAATGGTGACATTCGTTATACAAATATGTCACATTACAAGTATGTCCCTTTGAGCTAACAGATGTAATTTCTTAAAGCGTAGGCAGAGTGTAAGCATACATTTCATTAATAAGCTTGCACTTATTTATTTTTTTCTAAAATGATGTGGCCATAAAAATACTCCTAACTTGTGATCTTATATGAATTTGTGTTCATCACTAAGTATGCATATTTGGCCAGCTGTAAGTCCTATAACTCCCCAGTCAGCTAATTTGTATATCTGAATCAATAGCTAAAATAACCGAATCACCATGATTCTTCTTCATCCTTTTAATGAAATCTGGTTATGGCAGCATTAAGAGCTAATATTTGGTGCTTTTGTTTCCACTTCCGTATATCCTGCTGACAAGGATCTCAAACTTAAGCCACTAGAAGAAGAAATATCAGAAGGAAGTGCTACATCTGTAAGTGTTTCTCCCTTAGATTGTGATGTGGTGAAGGCATAGCTAGGCAGCCTCTGCGACTTGGGGGAGAAGTTCCCTTTCAGGAACTCATGAGGGGCTGCACCTCTGCCTGTTTACTGCACTCTGGACTGAGTTTGCTGACTCCCCAGTTCTTTAGCTTCAAAACAGTAACTGGGTTTAAATTCAGTAGTGGAGAGTGAGCATGAAAGACTTGTGTTGCCCATCCCTGGATTAAGATAAAGGAGTTTACACAGATAAACCACCCGTATTACTGTGGTTCTTCCAGTAGTCATCCGTATAGTCACATGGGGTTCTGTGTTTCGGCAGAGCTTTGTTCAAACCATTCTTGAGCAGAGTGGTTTTGACAAGAACCCGCTCCCTTTCTAGCTCAAAGGATGTGGGTTCCACACAGTGAGGCAGAGCTCATGAAGTTCAGTTCTTTATGCCAGTTCAGTGTTCCATATACATGGAAGAGCAGTAGGCATGACTTCTGGATAATTTATTTTGGGACTTGAGAAACTAGGGCTGTAAACATCCCCAAATTGGGACCTCCACAATCACATACTGAAATTCCAAAGGAAGAACAACATTTACTGTTACTACAATACTAGTATTATATCTATTGGATTAGATCCAGGCAGAGTCATATTTGGAATAAGCCCCACAGAAATCTATGGGATGTTTTCATTATTCATGATTTCTTTCAGTCTTATTGATTTCAGTTGGTCTTTCTTAAGTACTTATTATATGCATGCTGCTCTGTTCAAAATGGTTTGAAGGACAAGATAAAAATTTGTTAAACCTAAATTTGAAAAATCATGATTACAAAATTAATTTTGAAAAGTGAAAGTATGAACAAGAATGAAAACCAGACACTGCCATTACTGGGTATATCTTTCTTATATTGATGTACAATTTAAATGGTGAGGTTCTTTTTTATACTACAATAAATTATGTGTATGAAAATTAAAATAAGCAGTTATATTTAAATATTGTACTCCTAAAGTTAAAACACCAGGCTTTTGCAGAAATAACAATTTTAAAACCCCTCATGTTTAGAGGCTCTTCTGTGGTTAAACTCACATGTCTTTAAAACAATCCAGGCTTGTGTACAAACTAATCCTACACAAAGTATTCTATTGCCATTGTACCTTGAGGCATTAGCAAGAGACACTCTAACAGCCAGATAGCAAACCTATGTTTAGAAAATGTAGAACTTTAATGGCTCCTCACGCTACTCTTTTATCCTGTGGTTGGGAATATACTATTTAGCACTGCTTACACTGAGCAAGGCAAATTCCATAATCTCTGCCTGACCATTGACCATGCTGGCCTGGGTTTAGGGGAGTTGCAATGCAAATCCTCTGCCTCTCCTGGCTCTGTGCAGAATGGTGGGGACACTTCCCTTTCAGGCAGGGGTCTTTCTAGGCTTCCCTGATGTGCCAAGCATTGAGCCAGGGACCCTCTGCATGCCAAGCATGTCCTCTGCCACTGTGTGTTGTATTGCATTGATCCTTCTGGCCTAGGCCCCTTTACTTCCAATAACTGTGTCCATGCATGTATGTCCTCTTATCTGTGCTGCTTCTTTATAATGTTATTACTTTCTTTTTTATTTCCACAATTATATGAAGGTCTAAAACCAGGATGTGAGATAAGCTTTGTGTCACTATCCACACCTTTCCTACTGTCATCTCATAAATGGATCATCATTCACAATGTTACTGACATATTTATCTGCTGATCCTCCTGTGGCTAAAATGTCACCAGCCAAGGATGGGTGGTCACATCAGCAGGCTCAGGGAACCCTGGTAGGTGCAGAAGTACACAATGTACTTTGAAACAAACCCTCGGGCAACCCACTGAGCATCTTTCAAAGTAGGGGAGAAAACTGGAGGGACTGGGATATCCTGGAAGAGGGCATGGCTAGCAGGCACACTGAATGGAAACCCATCACACTGTGCTATTTTACTGAAGTCCTGCTTGTAATCATTTTTTTTAATTTATGCATTACATTTCTATCCCACCCCTTTCCCTCTAGCAAGGAATCCAAGGCAGCTTACCTCGCCCTCCACCTCTCCATTTCACACCCACAACAACCTGTAAGGTAAGATAGGCTGGGAGTCCATGACTGGCTCAAAGTGGCTGAAGGGGGACTAGAACTCGCATTTCCTGATTCCTAGTCCAAAACTTAAACCACTTCAGGTCTTGTCACTCCAAAAATGGAATAAAACTAACTGGATGGCAGGAGTAGGACGAGTATTTACTAAACGTATTTTCCTACTATTTTTGTCAGCACATAATGATTGTTCAGCGGCAGATGTCGGTAATAGCAGAAGAACTAGAACAGTTTCGATTTGCTCTGAAGCAGTATGTAGACACTGCCTCTTCTCAGGATGGATGTCTGCAGTGAGTACATTTATTGCTCTTGTGGATGAAAAAAGAAAGTCGCTAAAGGGATCTTCCCCTTTGAATGGGCACCAAATGTCACAAATGAACTTATGAAGCCTCGCCATAGTATGACACCACACAAGACAAATTTAGTAGTCCACAGGTCCCTTTACTTTTAATGGACATAAAGGTTTATTGTTCCAACCCAAAGAAAGCCATAAGCAACAATATTTTAGTATCACTGGAAATTGTGGAAGATGAAAAGCTAAGAAATGGGTTATTTTTTAAGTGTATGAGGGGAGCAACCATATATTCTCTGGAAACACATCCCAGGGAACCTAGGATTGTTTGGAATCCTAAGGTTGTAAATATTGCTGGAACTTATAAGGGGGAATTTAAGTTCTGATCATCTCCCCCTTGCAGCCACGGTGGAAAGAACTGCACCAGCTGCTTCTAGGGGTTGCAAATAAATTGTAAATTGGTGTCCAGCAGGGGATTGGACCCGATGGTCTTCATGGCACCTTCCAGCTCTACTATTCTTTGACCCTATGAAATACAGTCTTAGAGGGACAGAAAAGTAGGCAGGGAGGGGAAAACAGAGGCCAAGATATGTGAAATCCTATGAATCCCTGGAGGCGACCCTCCAGCCCTGGCCCAATCCTCACTAGCTGGGTCCACCTAGAGCAGCGGTGGCGAACCTATGGCATGTGTGCCACAGCGGGCACACAGAGCCCTCTCTGTTGGCATGCAAGCCAAGTCGCCCCAGCATCGCCCCAGCAGCTGAGCGGCGGATAGCAGCGCACATAGGGGCCATGCGCACTCTTGGAAAGGAGTAGTGGCGCCAGGCAATGATGTCATGAGCCATGACTCATTAGCCACGACTCGTCCGAGCTTTCGCATGGCCTGTCAGTGAGCTGCCAATATATTTGCTTGGACAGGCTGTGAGTTGTTTTTTCTAAACTAAAAGTTCAGTATTCAGGTTTTATTGCAGTGTTGGCACTTTGCAATAAATAAGGCAGTTTGGGTTGCAGTTTGGGCACCCGGTCTCTGAAAGTTTCACCATCACTGACCTAGAGGATAACTACATAAAAGGAGGATGGAGGAGCAAGAAGAATCTTTGCCATACTTCTCATTCTGCCAGCAGATGCTAGGTAGGGCATGGGATACATGGAAGCCTTCAGTACTGGAGGCTCCCTCCTAAGGCACAATCTTATGCATGTTTAAGACAGAAATAAGTAAGTCCTGGTAGTTGTAGTGATTTTTCCATCTCACCATGCACTGAATTGCATCCTAAGTCTGAAATCCTTAACGCTATTACTAGGGAGGAAGTCCCACTGAACACCATGGAACTTACCTGAGTAAATATGCATAGAACTGTGCTGTAAATTTCTAAGTTCTGAACTAAAACAAACAAATTCAACTATTCAATACATCAGGAACTTGACTGAATCATTCATGTGCTGTTATCTTCTTCAGTGCCAAAAGGCTATCAAAATTGTAGACTAGCTATATGGGTACTATTGTGTGGGATGTATTTAAGTCTCTCTCACACACCTCTCTAGGAAGAGAGTACTGACTGCTTTTACTCCTTTCTGCATGTCTCTCTGGGGTATCCTGATAATTTCTTTCGATGGTTGTTGTTGCAAAGTAAATCATTCAAAGCTAAACAACCAGTATGGAGTTGTTTTGGTTACAGATTTGCATCAGGCAAAAAAAAAAAAAGGAGAGGATATGCACATTTTAAAGCTGGTTGCAATTTGTGCTTGGTTTTGTTTGAGTGCAAGAGGCTGTGAGACTTTGGCTGATCTTTTGTTACAGTTTAGCTCTAAGTAAACAGCTCTGGTTTTGAAAGTTCAGGAACTGACCCTTCGGGATAAATACTTGCCCAATAGGTCAAATTCTGGTTGCTGCTTGCCCCACGCACTGGTGAAGCAGGGTTATGGAACAGTGACCAGAAGACAAAATAATTAGCTGAGACAAACTGATATATAATAGCAAAGTAAACTGATTACTTCATGATGCCTCTAGCTATCCTCCTGCTAGTTAATACTATCCATCATATCAGGGCCACAGCAAATGAAGCAACTGATTAATTTAAATAGCAATTTCTAGTAGCTTCAGAGTGAGTGGAGAATCTAATTTCAAATAAAGTAACTGCAGAGCTAAGTCAATAAAAGTGATGCTCCTGCCACCCTGAGAAGAAATGATCTACTAAGATCCAAACATATTCAGTACTGATGGGTGATCCTGTCTGTTGCTCATATATAACTGCTATAGATTGGGAAGAGGGAAAAACTGTTACTAGTATCTGGGAATTGCCCCAAAATACAATGTGAATAAAAGAATGGAGATGGAAATGAAAAGCAGACAATTACAATAAATCAACAGTTCTATCAGGAACAATGACCAACCTAGCAGACAAACAGAACTGCACATAACCTGATGAGCAGGGAAGTAAGAAAGGGGCAGTTCTGCCTTACCAGGGGATAAGCAAAACTTGAGCTAATTCAGGTTCTTTGAGCTTATTCTCAAGCATAAGTTTGCCTTATTCTCACTTCCAGTTGCAAGCCGTTTTGTTTCTTAAGTCATGTCCAAATACATCCTTCTCCCCAGGGTTTAAAGCGTGAAAATGAGCATTTATCTATTTTTCAAACTCTTGTTACAGACTCAGGAATGTGCCAGCTTTGTTTGTAACGTGTAATTGAATTAAGGGCTATAAACAGGGCAAGTTTTGGTCACAAACTATGACAAAATTCTTGCACAGCTCCACACCTTTCTTGAAGCACTGTGTTCCACAAGTACATGGTGCCATCTGCTGGTCCCTTTCAGATACGACCATTTTGCATATTTGATTATCTGGCTTAAAATGAATAAAACCTAAATAGGATGCTAATATGGAGAGACCCAGTCTCTCCTGGGTCCATCCTCTGCCCCACTCATCTGTTCCAAATAGGATTTTGTCCTTTTTATTTACAGTAAAAAATAACCAGATTTCTATATGCATTTATTTTCCTGTTTAAAATTGCAGCCTCTCTGCTAAGTTAGATGTATTCAACTGACTCCTGCACTATGCCCAGGAAACCCTGGTTTCTTGCTGTGCAAATGAGCTGTGTGAGCCATGGGCACCTTTGCTTCTCCCTCCCTTTTAGACCTGTGAGGTCTTTTCCATGTTGCTTCAACTCCCAAAACTGTTGTGTGTTTAAAAGGGAAAACATCTTTTGATTTCTTCTCTGTGGGCATACAAAATGAGGCAGGGGGGAGAGCATATTGAGCCAAAAGCCTGCCCTAACTCGTTCTCATGGTAGGAAATGAGTATTTTCCCTTATGTTTGAACTGGGCCTAACACATACGCTGCTTTCTATCAGTCAAATTAATTCTTTCCTTCATCCTTTAGTGTTTCCATTCAGAAGATTTCAAGAGAATCCCGCTTCATTATTTATGAATTTTGGGAGAACAATGCCTGGAACAGGTACATAGATTGCCATATGTATTTCTGCTTCTGGGTAGAGTTGTAAATAAAGGTTTGAAAACAATCTTTATCTAAACTCTTCTTAGAACTGTAGCTTGATTTTCCAAAATATTAATATTTATCAGCACCATCAAGCTCAGGGGTGGGGTAAGGGACAGGATTAATTATATTGCTTGTCCATTTTTCATTTTTCTTTTGTTAATCAGTTAAATGCTCAAATTATTAATAGATCCAGTTTCCTGCAGGATATCAAGCTTACATTCTAGTTGTACTGATTTCTAAGAGGTTATTCAGAATAAAGATGTTCATAACACTGGTAAAGGCTCATAAGTAAGAGATGAAAGCATGCTTTCAGTCCTGATAGATCTGAAAAGGGATCTGAAAAAGGAAAAAGCACAGATGCATCAAAGCTCTGAAAACCTGCTTTAGTATAAAGAGCTTTCCTGGGAAAAAATCACACTTACCAGTGACTGCTCAACATGTAATGAACACCGGTCGCCAAGGAGCTTTTTAACAGACATGGAAAAAGAAACCCAGTGATAGTACAAATTCCAACACTCCCTGTGCCCCAGACAGAGGTGCCATCATCATAATCAGTACCTCTAAATGAGCTGTAACTGGTCATGAGCCCAGTAATTGTGTGAATGAGAAGCATTCCTATCTGAACAGATGGATAGAAGTGTTGTCAATGTTTATTTTATTTCTATACCACCCTGTAGCCAAAGCTCCCTGGGTAGTTTATTAATCACAGGTAACTCAACAGTGCATATTTTATCCAACAATCAGACAATGTCACACAGGATTTGGAGACCTGTAAGCCCACCCCCTTTAAATGAATTGATATAGGGGGGAAAAGACTAAAAACAATGTTATTTATTTCTACAGTCACCTGCAGACAAACTACAGCAAGATATTCCAAAGGATTAATGTGGATTGCCTGAAAACTCCAGAACACATTACAACTATGCTAGTGCCTGGTAATTCTTGCATTTTATAAGTTTTCTATGTAAAAAAGCTCTCCCCCTTGTTCTCTCCCCCCCCCCCCCCCCCCTTACAACCCCTTTTCCATTTCAGGGATGGCAGAGGAACATTCAGTTAGGAATTTCCTGCTTATCCATCAGTAGTCTCTTTACAACAACATGAACAGTCCTTCAAAAATAAGGCCAAGTGCAGTCAATTAGGTTCATTTCCAAGTAAATTCTGTTACAGCTTTCTCCTTAAGACTTACCAGGCATGAGCTCTGTTTAAAACAATGGCTCTTGCTTCTAAGCCCATAGGACTGCAGTATTAGGATTGCAGAGGAACACAGAAAGCTGTCTTGGACTGAATCAGACCAATGGCCCATCTAGGCCAGTACTGTTCATAGTGAAAGGTAGTAGCTCTCCAGGCCTTCAGGGGGGAGATGCTAGGACTGAACCTGGAACTTTGCACAAGCGAAGTAGGATCTCTTCCAGAGCTACAGCTTGCTTGCTTGCTTATTTATTTACAACATTTGTATGCCGTCCTTCACTATCATATCTCAGGATGGCTTACAAGATTAGAAGCAAAACTACAGAACAATGGATAAAACAGTACAATAAAATTATCAAATAAATCCAATCAAAACAAAAGCGACTGTAAAACAGTAAAAATACTAATTTTTAAAATAACAAATAAAAAGTTTTAACCTGGCGCTGAAAAGAGTTTAGGCTCAGCACCAGGCAAACCTCACTGGGGAGCGTATTCCATAATCTGGGTGCCAGCACACAGAAGGCCCTGTTCCGAGTAAATTCTCAGAGCAGAACCTATATAGCAAAGGTTATAGCAAAGCCTTTTGTGAACAGTGAATTCATCTGCATGGATGCTTTTAAAACAGTTGACAAATGAACTGCAATTGGCCGAGGAATGTTAGGAGTTACTGATCTGAGGAGGAGCTGGGACTTACTGGCTGAGGAATAGCTTGCTTGGGAATGCTGGGAGTTGTAGAACTTTTCTTCTGTCCAATCAGGCACATGATAGTGCCCTTAAGGTCTTAGGGTTAGGACTAAACATTAAACACACCACATTAAAGATATGGCATGCAGCTGAGCCTCACTTTCCTTTTTTACCTCTATATAAGTGCCAGGGACCTTGCTTTGGATTGGAACCACAGTCTTCAGATAGGGAAGCTTTGAAAACCACTCTACCAATGTTCTTCTTCTCCCCTAAATTCTCCCTGCCCCATCCCTGCACATAAAGAGTGACAGGGGTTTTTTTCCTCTGGATCCACAATTGTCGCTCAAGTCTCAGGTGGACTCAGGGGTACAAAGCATCTTCTATCAGCTTAGGCTGATTTGCCAGTTATTACCCTATTGGGACAGAGCCCAGTAACAGTGATCTGTGCTCTGGTAACCTCTTGTTTGGATTGCTGTAATGGGCTCTACATGGGACTGCCTTTGAACATGGCCCAGAAACTTCAACTGATTCAAAACCACAGCCATTGATGGGGACTGGCCCACAAAAATCACATCATGCCAGTCCAGCTGCACTGACTGCCAGCTGAAATCTGGACCCAATTCAAAGTGCTTGTACTAACATTTAAAGCCCTAAACAGTTTTGGGTCAGGCTGTCTGGAGGAATGCCTTTTCCCATATGTACCTATCCAGGCCTTAAGGATTCTCAGGGGTCCTTCTCAAGGAGACCCCTGGGAAGTAAGGAGAATAATAACTAGGAGAAGCACCTTCTTGGTCGTGGCACCCCATCTTTGGAATAAGCTCCTCAGAGAGGTTCGCCTGGTGCCTACTCATTTTGGCGCCAGGTGAAAACCTTTTTATTTTTCAGTCATTTTAACAATTAAAATTGTAGTTTTAATAGGGTTTTATTAGATCCTGCTGCTGTACTTCTGTACCAATTTGGCTAGCTGTCTTGGGGTTGTTTTATTATTGTTGTTTTTTGGTTGTTGCTGTTTTTATGGTGATATTCTTATTTTTGCTTTAAATCTGTGAACCACCCAGAGCGCCTTTCTGGCTAGGGGGTGATATATAAATGCAATCAATCAATAAACAAACAAACAGTTTTACTATTACACTATATATTTATAACATAATGTATTACCTTATTACTACAATTAGTATTATCCAGTACCTTTACCTCTGCCACTATGAAGTATCAGTAACACCAGCCAGCGGCCACAGACTTCATCAGCTTGTCTTTGATTCTCTCACAGTTCACTAACAATTATATTTGACACAATTGTGTGGTACAATTCTATGGGACAAACCAGTATAGAACATATGGACATATGGTATAGAATATTTACTTGGCTAGGCCAAGGAAACATGATTCTTCCAATATCACTGCCATGCTTCAGTATGAAAAATATTTACATGCATCAATATTCCAAGCATTAGTATTTCTTAGCAGCTAACATTCTGAAACAATGCAGGTTTCTCCGCTGGGGACACCACTATGACGTGTGTCACTTTAATTTTTTAAAAAATGCCTTAACAATTACAGGGATCCAGACATTTTTACGCACACCCTCACATTTGAGGATTCTCTACTTACATAAACTGTTGCACCTAACCTTCTGAAACTTTGCAGGATTCCTATGTAGGGTCACCTCTATGCTGTCACTTTCAGTAGAATGGTCCAGAAGGATTGCGGGGGTGGGGGGGGAGCACCTCCTGTTTTGCATACCCCCAGAACATGAATACTGCTCTTGTACCAAAGATCTTCAGCATATTCATCTGACAGTTGGCAACCTTGCTCCCCTAAGAAGGCATAACTGTTCCTGCAAATGTCATCCAATTGTGTCAATAAACAACTATTGGCAGTTTCTTAAAAAATAAAAATGCAAACACCCCCTAGTTTTCTGATATTTCTAATATCATTTACTCCACCCTAAGAGGCTAGTATCCTAACATACTATACCTTTATGTCCAGTTCTGACCTAAAGAAAATCATCAGTGAATGTGGGCCATGGCACCTCAGATTCCTTTCCAGAGGCTTGGTTCCTGTACCTGAGGCAAAGCAGGCAGTCTGAACCAAACTGGCCAGTTTTTCAAAGTGCCAAATTGGGGGTAATGCCAAATCATGTGGCCAATGGATAATGCTAGTAAGCAAGTACAATAAAACAGCAGAACACATTTACAACTTAAATGGTATAGAGATTAAGGCAGATATTTTAAGATACAATTTACAAGCTTTCTGGGTTATTAAAAATGCATTCTTCCCTTAAAACTAAACTTCTTTTTAAAATGTCACCCTAGAATCTCGTACCAAGATCTAACTGTAGTCTGAAATGAATGTCTAGAATTTTTCTATGATTCAAGGAAATCGTTCATGGAAGGATTAGAGTCTGTAACTATGACAACAGCATTAGCTGGCACATCTTGACTTGGAACCACAGATATATTGAAAATAAGCACCCTTTTTTGAAAGCAAAAACACACACCAAACCATGTCCTTGCTTTATTACTTTGCAAAAGATTAGAAATAACAAAAGATCAATATATTTCATGCATCCATTGCACATTCTTTAGCTCAGTTCTATGGTCATTGGTCACCCCTTTGGTTATCACTACAGGAATTCTATGAAGGTAAGGATGTATTGTAATCTAGACCACCTACCACAGTTTCCTTCCTAACACTGGAAGAGGTGGCCTGGTACAGTATTTGAAACCTCTAGAATTATTGTTCTGGCTGCTAGATCAGCATCCATAATATATATTTTAACAATTTGGGCCTTTATGGCCATTATGAATATGTCTTAACATATTACTAACCCTATATAATCAGCAGGAGATACTGGTGTTTTGGGCAGCGTTTCTGCTTTTTCCTTGTCTTTTTGTTGTAATCAGATCACCTACATGGTAAAATTTAGGCTGATAGCAACCATTCTCTGTAGTAGTGATGGAGCTATTAAATGGCTCCATTACTAGAGCTTATGGAAGCTCTTGAGGAGTTTCCAGTTGGCATGGCTGATGCTCTTAATGAGAGCCCATTGTCTCTCTACAGAATGGTGAGTTTGACGAGGTTACTGACATGATCATTGTCAAGCACCCTCCCCTGTAATTTCACATTACAATCCTCAGATGCCTGCTGACACAACCTTGCAAGGTATTATTAGCATCATAAGGCTTACTTGGAAGTGCCCAAGACTACTACTTAACCTAGTTGTATAGAGCAAGCTTCAATGGTTACAGCCGAAGTGTAAGGGTGCTTGGGAGAGGTTCAGTCAGATACTTGAACTGAGTACAAACTCAACCCTTACTCAGTTTGGTTAATTATATCTAGTAAAAAGATAGTGAGTGGGTATGTTCAGATTATTAATGCCTCTTTGAAAGATGTCCTAGCTACCTTGAAGGAGGCAGTCATGCAGCCACTTGCTTAAAAAAACAAAACAAAAACATTTACACCCAAATTGTTTTAGCACTCAGTCAGAAATACTCCTTTCCTACTGCCCAAAAAGTAATTCTGTAGGCTGATGTTCTATTGTAGAGGTGAGCAGGCAGCCTTGTATTTAGTTTTTGAAATCCCAGAAGCTGCTGGCAACAGTCTGGAATGCTGGAAGTTGAATACATTTGGAGACCTCCCTTCTGACCCCTCCCTGTACTTCTGAATGAAAAAAAAAAAATCTAGATCTATTTCCATTTGTCTTCAGGCCTAGTTTTGGAACTAAAACATCCATGGTTCTCCTGCCAAGAGGTGATCTCCCTTCATTTTTTGGCCTTCAATTCTATCAACTGTGCTATCCTGGTGTACTGACTCTGTGAATTAGGAAAGGAATAAAGTGAATCCTCAGGATTCATTTCAGAATGTATTGGGGGAACCTCCATTCTGTACTTTGGCAGTAGCAATACAGGGTCTGACAGGATTCCATTCTATCCCCCAAGGGGCCTCTCTTGCATGAACTAACATTTACAAAGTATACATGGTTTGCCAGCTGCAGCCAGATTTTCTGACCGGTCATCCATGTTCTGTAACCTCCCCACTGGATTGCTGCAATACATTTTATGTAGGGCTGGTTCAGAATTCTAATGTGTGTGTGATAGTGTACACATATCAAATTAGCTTCTTTTTTGTGCCATGCCTAATTCTAGGCAGCACTAAATGGAGCCCAAAATGACTTAGGACACAAATATCTGAGGTAAGGTTATTTATTTATTTGAGTATGTTTACCCCATCCAAAACATTGCAAGTCTCTGGACGGCTATCTTCTGTTTGTTGGACTTCTTGTGCTCAGACCTGGCTTCAGAAGCAAGCTGTGTTGAGAAGTCTGTGAATGCTTGTGGAACTCTGGTTGCCTAACTGGCATATGCAGCACAAAGGCCACAAGTCAGGTGCATGGAAGAGAAATGACACTTGCACAGCATTCACATGGGCTCACTTCCTAGCAGGCATTCACACAAATGAATACTTGGTGCCAAGCCAGACTCACAGCTGCAAGAAAGCGTGCTAGACTCTGAGAAACTTACCTAAGGGAATCTGATGTATTTCTACCCCAAAAACAGATTCTTCATACATCTCTAACGTGGCATAGTTCCTACTCCCTTATCAACCATATCACCTCTTAGAGATCTTCTGTTAAGGCCCTTCTCTAAGTACATTCAGAGGTACATTGATCATCTATGAAGAAGAGGGGATCTCTTAACAATGGTGCCTGATTTTGTATACCTTCACTGAAGCAGTTTGCCTAGTACCAACATGCCTATCTTTTAAATACAAAGCAAAGCGCCTTTTAATTACCCAAGTATTGTAATAGATTGTTGATTTAGCTGAACAGGATTTACCTGTTTTTATTTTGTGTCATACTGCTTCAGATTGGCAATGTCATTATGTTGTGTTTTACTCTACACCTATGGACTAAAAACCAAACAGAGATATCCATATACACACTGTGAGATTATCCTGAAGCTTTAAGAAACTTGAAATTGCCATATAGTTAGAACAAACATGTTAATCAAATAATTGAATTGTCTAACCTCAATATATATTTCTTTTCAGCTTCCTGGTGGGTTCTGAACAACAACTAGAAGTTATGTTACAAGAACCTCTGCATTCTAAACTACCACCCATAAAACCCATACCATACAGCTTCTTAAGGCTAACAAATTACAGATAAACTTCATTAATGCAACCTTCTATTGCAAAGCAAGGTCAAGTTGTTCAAGTTCCTGTAATTGCTATATTAGAGAATAGTGTGAACTGGTCTTAATTTGTTTCACGTGGAGGTTTTTGATATTATTTAAGTTTTATGTATTTGCGTATGTGCTTATTTGTAACTTATCTTGAAACTATGGGAATAACAACATAGCTGCTTTTGCTTACAAACTTGATGCACAGTTAAGACAACCCAACAAGAATATAAAAAGTATATACAGCTTTTCAAGAAAATGAGAAATATGATTAATAAATAGCAGGTAACAGGTTTTAACTTCTGCTACTTGTCCATTCAAGTGAGCACATTGTTCATATGCTTACCCTTGATGCTTCCAATTCCTATATTCAGGATTTTAAAATGAAACAAAACAAAAACATGCTGCCCAAAAGAATAAGTGCCAGTGTGGAGGCAGGAGTTCCTGTTGCTTTTGTTTCACAAGACTCCTGCACTGAGTTCTTCCCCAAACCTTCCTCATGACAACCTTCCAAAACTTTCTGTCCATGTAATCAAGCTATAGCATCACCAACCTCACATCAATTATTAAAGGCTTCAACTCAGCCTTATGACATTGTTACATTGCTACTAAAAGCCCCTACACCAACTACATAATGTAATGTAAGACCTCCTCACTGTCTACTTCAACTGAATTTGGATCTTCACCAATGTCATCTGAATACAGTTGTACCATGAGGCATATAAAACACATTTGAGAAAGTAATTCATCAGGCTTTCCTGCTCTACAGGAGTCAGAGAAATTTTGAAGTCATGGAAAAAAGGTTGGGGGAGGGGAGTGAGTCCAAGGAGGGGGTCAGAAAAGATCCAGAACATTAAAGAAAATAGAAAACATGCCTTACTTTTTAAAAGCACTCTCTGAAAATCTAATACCAAGTTGTTACTTTAGAAATATAAAAAATATTTTGCAAAGTTGGATTGCTCATAAATTATTAAAAATTAAACTCACTTAAAAGTAAATTCAGTACATATTTAACAACTGTCTGAATAAACTATACTTTTAAATTTAATATACCAAACATGATCGTGTCATTATCAAAGTTAGACATTATAGACATTAGTTAGACATTATACTATTTTGTAAATGACCAGAAAGAACTACTATATGCAGTCCCTGAAACATCTGAATCATTGTACATGCCAGAGAAGCAGGAATGATTAGAGGCAGAAATTCTTGCATAACATCTATTCCTATTTGGGAGAAATTAGCTGAAATCAGATTTGGAAAATCTGATCTAAAGGAAAAGTTTATATAACTGCAGAAGCTTCTCTTACCTATTAAGAAAGGTGACTGAACTTAAGAATCTTTAAGCAATTTCTATCTATTATTTAAAGAATGACATTTTATTCCAGAATAGTAAATGATTCCATCCAATAAACATTGATTTTTGCTCATTTTGAAAGGTTGTTTTTTAGCTATAGTGCACTCTCATGGCTATATCCATAAGAAGCAGGGCTACTGAGTTTCTTTTAAGTATAAAGTGCTTATTTTGATGGCAGTGGTTAAAAATTTTATAGCTAAAGAAACATTCCCTAACAACAATATCTAACTGGATACTTTATTAGAACTGTAGCAGTTCCATAGACTCAAACCTCTTATTTTTTAAGAGACACAGATGAGAAAAGCCACTTTGTTCTGTTATGCATGGTTTTATGGAAATGAAGATTTCTATGGAAATGAAGCCCGTCTCAACTTTAGCAAAGTTACAGGAAATTCTTCCATGAATACAAATTTAATTCATCTTTGCCAAATAATTTACAGCAAATCCTTTGGTATGATGACAGAGCCCTGTGGCCCCTATATCTAAAGGACTGCTGGATGCCTTGGATTCCCAGCCCCAAGGAAGGGAAAGAGCTGGATATCTACACTAAGATCCTCCTCCTTCCTCAGAATTGGCACAATCTTCAGAGCCCATAGAAACAACAATGTTGTTTTTAGAAATCACATCGAGGGATTAAAGACTGGGAGATTAAACACTTTGGAGATGAAGCACTCCCTTTATCATAGGAGAATATATTTCATAATCCAGGCTTGTCCATCTTTTTTCACTTTCTCAGAAAAACAAGACCAAAAAAAGTTTGGGATAGGGGGAACATTTTTCCCAGATCTTCCTGCTTTTTCCTCTAGTCCTTAAGATCTCTAGATCACCTTGTAGATAAGAAGTATTTCCTACCCAGAACATAGAAGGCATCTCTCACCAATAAATGCTAGCACAGCACTGAAACCCAGATCACACTTTGGCACAATATTCAAATTTGTTTTTCAATTTTATACCCAGAAAGTCCAATAAGGAATACTATACTACAAATAGCCTATTATTTTAAAAATGTGAACTGAAGACTCAGTGTGTTAATTAGTATCTGCATTAGTATCCACACATCATTAGTATCCTATATGGTTCAATGATAAAAACTGGAATTGTCACTTAATAATCTATTTTGTAATGTGATAAGGTGCACATAGGGATATTCAACTTCTTGCTTAACAAAACCTTAAGTTCTGCTTAAACAATTGCTACCATTAATTCATTACTTGGTTCTGTATTGTCTTCTTTATATGTACTTTACACGTCAGTAGTTTAGAATCACATTATTTAATCTACAAATTGCTTAAAATCAATTCCATCAAAACCATCCTGGTTTATTTGAAAAGTTATAGTAAGAGTCTAAAAATGTTATTCATCCACAAAGAGAAAGTAAGATTTACCGAGTAATGAAATATTGGCTAAGAATCAAAGAATTTGAAATTGATTCACGTAAGTTCTCTGTTGAAAATAGTTTTACTTCTGACATGAAATAATGAGTACATCAGCTGTAAAATATAAGTTTGATTACAGTCTACTGGCATTACAGATCACATTTCCTTAATTTTTAGTGGTGAAAAAGACATTCCTCATCTTCAGAAAGACCTATCATTGCTTGCAGCAGGCAGTAAATAGTAGTTTTTCTAAAAGCAAGAAAGTCCAAATTTAGTTAAAGAAGCTTTGAGGTGTTAACACATAATAATTTTAACCATGGCTTAGAACTGGAGAAAAAGTTTTTAAACAATTCAGAAGGATCTACACAAAACAAAATGGTTAATAGATTGCATAAGAACAAAGAAACAATGAGTGAATGCACAGTGAGTTGATAAAAGAAAAACCATAGGGAGGGTATAACAATGTATCCATCAGAATCAGGGTGAAGCCAAGGGAAGGAGGGGTGGCCATATTGAAAACCCATGTGCCTGATGTTCAACATCTCTGTACTATTGGTAGCTCTCAAAAACATTTTCCCCCATGTAAAATTGCAATTTGAACCCAAGGAAATTATTTTAAGCATTCCCCTATTAGCATTTTTCTCAGCAAGCCTCATATTGTATTTTAATGTTTCCTACAGAGGTTTCTATCTACATCTACATTTAGTGTATATACAGCCTTAAAAATGGAGGCTTGCTGTTGCTCAGCTCAGGTGAGCTGACAAGAGCAATTACATCCATAGATGCAAATTCCAGCTAGCTTTGCATTTTTCCAGATGCTAACATCTCGGGGACACTTGTTAAATACAGTGGGCACTTGGAATACGTGACGCCCCATTCCTAAAAAACAGAGGAATTTCCTTCACAAGAAAGGATCACTCTGGCTTCACAAGCATTTGATAGATTGACTTTTGACAACTGACAAAAGTCAGTTGTGGGCACAGAACAGAAAAGTGCCCTCTGGACCACTGGTGGCGAACCTATGGCAGGAGTGCCACAGCGGGCACACAAAGCCCTCTCTGGTGGCACTCCAGCCAATTTGCCCAGCAGCTGAGTATCGGATAACAGCAGACATATGGGCCATGCACATGATCAGAACGGAGTAGCACCACCAGGCGAAGACATCACAAGCCACGACTCACTGGCCATGACTCGTCCGAGCTTTCGCATGGCTGGTCAGTGAACTGCCAAGGATATATATGTATTTCCTCGGACTGGCTGTGAGTTGTTTTTTCTAAACTAAAACCTGTTTTCAGGTTTTATTAAAGTGTTGGCAATTTGCAGTACATAAGTGGGTTTGGAGTTGCAGTTTGGGCACTCAGACTCTAAAAGGATCACCATCACTGGGTTAGGGGTAGAAAAAAGAAGTGCATGATTTTGATGGTTGGAATGTGTTTAGAATGGGCAGAAATGTTGAGTCATGCAGAAATAGCTACTCAAGGAAGGCTTTTTCAAATTCGTCCTATTTTCAATGATATTTTACCCCTAGGGTAAGCATCAGGGTAGGGTTAGGGTTAAAGAAATGATGTGTCCTGGCATTTTGGTGGTTGGAATGTGTTTAGAATGGGCAGAAATGTTGAGCCATGCAGAAACCACTACTCAAGGAAGGCTTTTTCAAAATCGTCCTATTTTCAATGGTATTTTACCCCTATATCAGGGTTAGGGGAGTGCACCAGGGTAGACTTAGGCCAGTGGCGGCAAACCTATGGCACGCGTGCCACAACAGGCATGCAGAGCTCTCTGTGTCTGCACATGAGGCAAGTTGCATCAGCATCGCCCCAGCAGCTGAACATTGATAACAGCGCAGTGAACGGCCATGCACATGCTCAGGAAGGAGTAACCGCGCCAAGCAATGACATCATGAGCTGAGACTCATTAGCTACCACTTGCATAGCGTTCACATAGCTGGCCAGTGCACTGCCATGGATGGATGGATGGATGGATAGATAGATAGATATGCTTGGACTGGCTGTGAGTTGTTTTTTTTCTAAACTGAAACCTCATTTTTCAGGTTTTATTGTAGTGTTGGCACTTTGCGATAAATAAATGGGTTTTGGGTTGCAGTTTGGGCACTCGGTCTCTAAAAGGTTTGCCCTCCCTGCACTAGACTTTGCCAGCAGGCACCTCCCTGCCCATTACCTAACCCAGATTCCCCCTTGCAGTTCCTCCATATATGAAGTCAACAACAATTGTGCAACCATGGCAAGAAAAATTTAAACTTTATTTCACAAACATTGCAAAAATAGAGAAGAAGGATTAAAAAAAACTTGCCAATTACAGGCAGTCTCTCCAAGGTCCCACTGAGCCACCTTGGAGGAACTGCTCTTTGCTATCAAGGTGGTGGCGACACAATCTGAAGAATGTTTTATACAGCAATGAAGCCTCAGTGAGCCCAAAAGTGCTTGCAGTGGCTGGGAGAAAGGGAAGCCTCTGCCAGCCACTCCAAAGGGCCACTTGAGTACTTTGGGGGCAACTGGCAATAGTGGTTGCCTGGTAGCTCCTTGGCAAGAGCGGCAAGGGGTTGCTCCTCTTAAAAAGCAGCTTTGTAGTGGTGGGGTAACTAATGATGGGCTGTATTGACCAGATTTAGCCAACATGTCAATCTAGCAGGAGACAAACCCTATCAAAAGTTATGGCTTATAACTAAAAATTAAGCTTTCTTTAAAAAAAAAATCACAGGTGGTTTGCAAAACGCAACAACCCATTAGTTGCTGGCTTTCTGCCCTCACAATGGCAAAGTACCACACTTCTACTGAAAAGACTTTGGTTTTATGAAAAGCCCAGTAAGATCTGTTGTATTCTAAGGCAAGGCACAGGCCCCATATCCCAGAACACTATGGCTGGTTAGCTGTGTCACTACTTTAGCTGAAACAGTTATTTGTTTGCAGTGTCTTCTGAGGATTTATGTAGTGTCACATTCCTCTTTTCAAGGGGCTACAGGGGGTTCTGTAGGGGGCAATTTCAGTGCAGGGAGCTACAGCAGGGAGAAAATGATAGGAGAATTGTAAATTGTGCTTGTATCCCAAGCACTGCATAGGATACAACCTGCTCACTTCAGTACTAATTTAATCAGTGATTCTACTAATACACCAAAACTTCACTTAAATTCTTCCACAGACTCAATTTGAAATAGAAATACTTACTGGTTTTTCAAGTACTATAGGATGATCAGGGAGAAATTCTGGTTTCTTTTGGGCAAGAGAAACCTCTGAAAGCTTCAAAAGAAAATCTCTACTATATGTTATTCTTTCTGTGAACAGAAAATTAGAGAATTAAAGTGCATTGGGATGAGAAGTAGTTAAGGGTATGGAACAAAATCTAACAACTTCCTATGAAAGTTAAGAATTAAAATCCATACATCAACATTTATTGTCCTGGCATCACAAGCAGTGATGAGCACCTCCAGCAGTATGTAAATTACCATCAGTGCAAGCAGCAGAATGATGGTTTTTGAAAGCTTATGTTGATGCTGCTTGAACTATAGCTATTCTGAATTCTACAGATCATGAATAAGCTGCTGGTAAACGTGGGTAGAAGGGTGCTGCTATGTTCACATGCTGCCTATAGGTTTCCAGTGGGCAGGTGACTGGCTACTATGTAACTAGAAATTGGACTGCATGGACCCAGCAAGTCATGTGTATATAGTTAAAGTGCAACAGTATCAGTACCACTATGAAGGGGCAAACTAGCAAGCAACTAGGCAGATTATCCTGTTAGCGTCTAATGCAAAAGAAATCCCCTTGTTAAATATGGTCTGCTGAATAAGCTGAATGAGCGCAAATTTCCATTTTACTCTCTCTCTCTCTCTCTCTCTCTCTCTCTCTCTCTCTCTCTCTCTCAAATCAATTCCAAATATTTATTAACTTGACAAATATCAGACAAGATTAAGGTTGCAGCTTGAGGAACTCTGTGTAAAACATGCATAGGTCAAGCAGGAAGTGGCTTCAGAAAACCCTAGACGAGACATTCATTTAATCCTAATGCAATGTAACTGCTCGTCAAGATATGACCCAAATTAAAATGGCACTGTTTCGAGAGTTAACACTCCTTTGATAGTTTAGTGGTATTTTTCTACAGTCGTATTCACAAAGTTTACCTTTTGTGACTTCAGGTTTATGTTGCTCTGACAGACTGGGAACTAGAGTTTCATTTAAGACCAACATTCCACTAGGTTTACACATCTAAAAATTTTAAACAAGAAATGTATCTTGATATTTTACAAGAGTTTAATTTTTAATGGTATCAACTTACATCCACTTTTCAACAACAAAAATTATGTACAGTAGCTAACAAAAATTCATGAAAAAATGCAGTAGCCAAGAATATTGCTTAATTCAGCTGACTTAAAAATATTACAGCACAAATGCTGCAATGTCACATTTAGGTTTTAGTCCTATGCATGCTTAGATAGGGAAAAAATGTCGTATAATTCCCAGTGTACTCCCAGTCAGCATGGTTGGGTTGCTGATGGGAAAGATAAAACTATTTTCTATCCAAAACTGCACAGAACTGGATGTTTTGTCTCCTAACACTTTAGATCACCACGCAGATACATCTACCATGAAAATGTGCCTTTAATTATTAAGCATACACTGATGGTTTGAAAAACTATACGCATATCAGACTTACTCTACCTGGCATTTATGTAGACACTACATATGATACTGGAAGATAAAACAAGGTTGTGCACATACAACCTGAATAAGAGAGCAATCCTTCAGTCTTAGCCTTTCTATTCCTCATGTTTAAAATAGATGCATTAAGCCAGTGTGAGAGCCAGTGTGGTGTAGTGGTTAAGAGCATGGGACTGGGACTCAGACAATCTGGGTTCTAGTCCCCGCTCAGCAATGGAGCCAACTGGGTGACTTTGGGCCAGTCACAGACTCTCAGCCCAACCTACCTCACAGGGTGGTTGTTGTGGGGATAAGATGGAGGAGGAGATGTAAGCTGCCTTGAGCCCTTTGTAGGAAAAAGGCAGGATATAAATTGAAAATAAATAAGGAATTAATTGGTTACCTTGATCAAGTTTGTGTTGCTCTAGTGCCCACTCTGAGAACCTTGTGTTAAAATTCCTGATCTGTAGCAACCAAGTAGTGCACTTGTATATACAGTGTATGCTTTCAAGGTTCAATAGGTAACTGATTCTGCTCCCTTCTTTCCCATTTTGTAACTAATGAACCTCAGTTTTCATTTTGTATCTAGGGGACTGTTGATTAGTGAAACCTCACTTTGCAAGTAAGAACAGTACACTTAGTCCCCAGGTTGAGATCATTTTTAAGTCAGATTTGGATGGAAGTTGGATCACATATATAAAATATATATATATAACACTTAACACTTCCACACACACTAAAACATCTTAAAAGCAATACTACATGTTAATAATGATAACACAGTAATAATAAAGTAACTACAGAAGAGAGAAAATCTGTATGTTTAGGCATACAGAACAGTTCTTAAAAGAATTTAGATAGAAAGATAGGAAAATAGTAAACAGATTACTAAAGGTTAACACATCGTGAGCTAACATTGAGCCTAACATTAATAGGATAATGATGGAGATGGGACTGGGGTTGGAGAGGATAGTATTGGTATTGGAGAGTTGTTCTTAACTCGAACATTCGTAACTGGGGGACCGAGTGCATATCTGAAAAGCCTGATGTCTGCCCACCCCTGTTGCACAAGATGGAAACTGAGCGAGATGAGTTCGCAAGCTTCCTCTCCTCCGCTGTTGGAAAGAGGGCTTCAGTAGCATTTATTTCATGTTCAAGTTCATGCATATAGCTCTAAACCATGTGAACTGGGACAAATAATTATCCAGTAATTTCATAGTTCAGTTGGAATATTTTATAGTAATACAGAATATACTGAAGAGTAGGGTTTATAACAGTCTGAAGATTATTATTTTTTATGAAATGGATTAATACTTACAGAGCTAATTTCATTTTGCAAGCATACAGTAGGGCTACATGGAAACTTAGCTTGGAAGCTGAAAGTGGCTGTTGATACTGTGGAAAAGGTTGATGCAAAAATGAAGTAAAAATATGTTTACTTCTTTTAAAATATGGAATATATTTCAATCTTCTACATATTATTGTAATGTTCATACAATACATTCATACAATAATATGAATAATATAATAATTATATAGCACAAACAAGTATTCTGAAATTATTCAAACACTTACCATGGGGAGAGAGGTGGCGCACAGGTCTTGCAGGCTGGAGCGTCTTACCAATCATTCTTTTTGCTTCCATTTTTTTTTTACACTTTCAGGAGCCATACTGTTAAAAAAAAAAAAAAAAGGTAAATAATTGGTATGCTTCTAGAATTAAGAGAAATAGCTGTGGATACACTGAGCAGTCTTGTGCTGTTCTTCAAGATTGCTCACCTCCTATGCCATTTACCCTTAGACCATGTATTCCAGCTCTTAACTGTCACCTTTCCACCTCCCCACCTACAACAGAAATTTATAATTACAAAAAACCCTATTCATAATTTTATTATAAATTCCTAGTTATTCATAATTTTATTAAATCTTCTTTAACATCAGCCTTAAACATTCAGTAACACTGATCCTAAATTAACAGACTTTATTTTTCATATAAATATATGACTGGTTCAACTTCGTTAATTAATAAGAATTTTAAACTGGCTTTTAAGGAAAGATCAGTATACCTTAAATGATGCTTTACTATGCAAGACATTATTAGCATATTATCCATTGTTATGCCCTTATTTTTAATGATGAAGGAAGGATATTTTCCTATGCAAGCAGATAGCACAGCTATCATTTTTCCTTACCATTATGAGTACTTCATATATTGTGAAGCCTGTCCATAGCTACTTAGAAATAAGTCCTACTGCATTCAAGGGACCTTACTCCCATGTCAGTATAATAATGCAACCTTAATGCAATTATTGGATTATCTTACAAATAGCCCTGTATAAAATACTGGATTTGAGAGTGTCAGAGAAGCCAAGAGAAATGCCACCAGAATGCCTCTTTCACTAGGCTGGTCTCCTAGCAGGTCACCCAAGACAGAATGCTCAAAGTAGAGGTGTTGGTCTAAGAAGCGTCCACCCTTTCCACCTGAGGAAAATGGATATCTCTAATGGTCATGGGGGCAGAAAAACACCTGAAGGGTAGTAGCAGGCAGTACCAGTAGTTGAAGGAGAAACTGGCACAGGATCTTTCACAAACAGCAGCAGCAGCACTCAAGTTAACTCTGGTTAATGCAGAACACAATGACAAACAGCTTCTGAAAATTTCTTACCCTGAAAACCCTATGATGAAACAATCCAAAATGAATAGTGTCAGAAGATTAGATTTTCAGGTAAGAAGGCACTCAACCAGCTACTGGGAACTGCAGAAGTCTACAAATAGTGCTGTCACTTATGAGACAACTAGATCAAAGCTGAAAGAAAGTCTAGTCTCTGACATGCACAGAGGCAAAGAAAAAGTCTGATGTCACACAACACATACAATTTGTACATGAAACATGAGATGTAGCAATCAAGGAAAGCTGGAAATCATAAAGCAAGGTTTTTTTTAAATAGCACAGTACTTGCCACAAGCAAACTAAAGTAGGCTGGAGTGGCACATTTGCAGTTGGATGTTTCTTATTTTATTCTGGAAATGACAAACACAGTTCCTCTAATACTGAGCCAAGAAGTGGCACAGGGAGTAAGATGCTATGATAAAAAGTCCAATTGCTTTATATCAATCAGAATTTGTGGAAAATGTATCAATATAACCAACATCCAAGTCTATGCTCTAACAACTGATGCTGAAGTTGAAGAAACTGAAAAGTTTAATACAAGGGTGCAAGAGGAAATTGATAACACACAAAACAAGACATGCTGATATCACAGGTATACATACCAGAAACCAGAGTTCTTGGAGAATTTGGCATAGGAATTTGGCATAAGGGTCCAAAATAAAGCAGGGGGATGACTTACAGAATTCTATAAGACCAACTTTCTGTTTATTGCAGATACCTAATTGGGACAGCTAACCAGCCATTACCAGGTGGTCAACACAGAAATAAAATAGACTATGTAATTGGATGTAAGCAATAGAGAAGCTTTATTCTCCCTATTAAGACAAGACCAGGAGCAAACTGTGGTAGTGACCATGAATTATTAACATGAAAAATCTGAAAAAATCACTGCAGAAGCATTGAACTAAAATACAACTTCTATAATAATCCTGAGGAATTTAGAGTCCACACAAAGAACAGATTTGCATTACTCAACTCAGCTGACTGTGAACTAAGATGCACTGTGGATGCAAACCAGAAACTATTAGGGAAGAATCCAATTCCTGTAGCAAAAATGAAGACAAAGCCTAGATGTATGACAAAACAGACATTCGTAATTGCTAGGAACAAGGAAGAAGCAAGAGTAAAATATGACAGAAATGGAGTCTGAATCCTTAAAGTTGCTTTTCAGCAACCATCATGTAGAGACAAAAAGAACTAATAAAATGACCAGTGCAAAGAATTAGAAGGGGGGAAAAGAGACCTCTTCCAGAAGATCTAAGATATCAAAGACAGATACAAACCTAGATCAGGAACACTGGAAGACCAGCAGGGCAACATATTACCTGATGAGGATAAAATAAAGAGGAAGTGGAAAGAATATGGAAGAACTATACAGATGAGAGAAAAAGATGATAAACTTCTTCCAAAAGGAATCCTATGAGGAAGCCTGCAATTTTAGAAATTGAACTGAAAACTGCTCTGAAAACACTCAGGAAGAATAGAGTATCAGTGGAGATAGGTACCAACAGAACTATTCCAAGCTGCAATCAGTCCAAATCCTAAGAAAAATATGCATCAAATATGGAAAACAAAACAATGGCCCACAGACTTAAAACATTTAACATACATTCCAATCCACAAGGAATGAACGCAGCAACTGTAAGACCATTGCACTAACTTCCCATCCAAGCTAAGTGATGCTCAAGGTGTTGCAACAATGAATTTTTACCCTCTATGCAGCAATAAATGCCTGATGTTCCAGGTACATTCTAAAAAGGGGAAAGTCACTTGGGATCATGTCATAAATATACACTGGCTACTCTTGTGCTCCAAAGAACTTCATAAGTTCAGACTATAGCAAAACCTTTGACTGTGGGGATCACAAGAAGCTATGGATCGTTTCTGAAAGAAATGAGGGTGTGTGTGGATAAGCTCTTTGGTGGACAAGAAATATTTCAGGACAGGATATGAAGAAACAAAGTGGTTTCCTATAGGCAGAGATGTCAGACAAGGGTGCTGTTTGTCTCCCTAATCGTCCAAACTGTATGCAGAACATAAGTAATTAGGTTCAGAAAAAGGAAGCATTAACAATCATGGACGATATATTACTAATTCAAGATACGCAGGCAATATCTTATTATTGGAAGAAAGGAGCAGTGAATTGAAATCGAACGGAAGAAGCCATCACCGACTCCAGGAGGGATAGGAGAGCCAGAAGGGAAATACTCTTTTTTTCCGCCTTCGTAGGAAGCCGCAAAAGGACAACATGTCCAACCCTCCTGCCATGCATTCCTGCGGCTTCCCAAACGTGCACGGAGGAGCGTCGAGGTTCCCACGGCCGTGCCACTCCGCATCCGGCCCTCACGGAGCACGCTCCCAAAGGCCACCCCAACTGGAAGCTCGGTAGCTCCCTGCCCCAACTATTTCCTTGGCTCCCCTTCCGCTACTCAGTTACCAAAGTCCGCTTAGCAGTTCCGCATGCTCCGATCTAAAGTACTTTAAAAGAAAAGAACCGGTCCTGCTTTTCCCTGCCGCGTCCCCGCCTTCACACTTGGAGCGGGAGTGGGCGAGGGCAGCGAGTGGGAGGCCTGGCAAAGTGGGCGGAGCCGAGGCGGAACGGTCCTCCCGCACTTAAGGGGATAACGGTCGTCTCGTGGCCCGCCAGGATTCGGAAGTCCGTGCGCCTTGCACGTGGCGGGAGGCTGTGCGTGTCACGCGTCGGCACGCGCGCGCGTCGCTGCCGCCGCTGCTGCTGTCGTCTGCGTGGATGAGCGGGGGCCGAGCGGCACGAATGGAAAAAGCCGCATCCAGGCTTCGGCCCACCATTTTGAGTGTTCCAGAATTAAACTGGTAAGGGGAGAGGCAATCTAGCCCTAGTCGTAGCCGTATCTCGTAGTTGCGGGCAGGGTGAGAGAGGAAAGGAGAGAGAGTGAGATAAAAACTCAAGAGCCCTGCTGGATCAGACGGAGGGCTTGTTTAGTCCGTTGTTCTGTTCACACGGTGGCCGACCGACCAGCTGCTCCTGAGAAACCCACAAGCAAGACGCGAGTACAACACCACGCTCTAAGTTTCCTAGTATCCTGCTGCTGATACGAAAAGTAGCATATAGGTACTGGTAGCCTTCCATTATTTTTTTCCGGGCCCCCTTTAAAAACGTTGTCATTTTTCTTTGCAGGATTGTTGTTCCAGCCTCTTGATTATTTTAGATGCCTCCTTTTTGCATTTCCTCCAATTCTGCAGTATCCTTTTTAGATACTCTGGTTTCCTGGATGGAATCAGTCCATCTCTTTTTTAGTCTTCTCTTCTGCCCTTGACAGTATAATTGTCTTCCCCTGTGATTCTTGCCCTTCTCATTATGTGTCCAAAGTAGGACAGCCTCAATGTTGTTATTTTTGCTGCTAGGGAATGCTTTGGATTGATTTAAGCTACTATGCACTTCCCTGTCTGATCCAAGGTACTCACACATCTATCCTCCAGCACCATGCTTGAATTCAAGTTTTCATCCTCTCAGCTTTCTTCACTGTCCAGCTTTCTCAACCATATGCAGTAATCTTTTACTACTCTTACTACTAAATTGTTCATATGTGAAGTTGCTTTCTAAATAATGCCAGAGTTAATTATGCAGCACTTAGAAACTCATAGCTGGCATTTTATTCATGTAATATTGTTTGGGCAAAATCCTATGTATGTTCACATTGAAACATGTAACATGTCTGGCTGGGTAATGCTGGGAATTGTAGGGCATTTTTCCCTAGTGTATAGGATAAGTATCCATAATGTAAATTCATTCTACTCTTAAAGGTGATGTTCAGCAATTATAGTTTATGGGTATAATTTTTAAAAGATAGAATGAAATTCGTGTTTCTGGAACTAGCATATGTATCTCAGATTTGCAAACTTAAAGCAGATGGCGATGAAGAGAAAATGGCAGATATATCTCTAAAATCTCTGACCCTCTTGATTCTCCGGGACCTCTCAGTGGCTTTCAATACCATCGACCATGGCATCCTTCTGGAGACGTTGGCTGGGCTGGGAGTTGGTGACACCACTTTGTGGTGACTCCACTCCAACGTGGCTGTCTCCAGGGGGTAGCGCTGGGGGGCGGGAGGTGCTGCATTGCTCACTTGTGCCATGGAATTCCACAGGGCTTCCATCTTGTTCTCCATTCTTTTTAACATTTGCATGGAACTGCTGGGAATGGCCAGGGCTAAAGTGTCACCAATATGCGGATGACACTCAGTTGTACCTCTAGTTTTCATCTAATCCGGGGGAGGCAGTGACTGTTCTTAACCAGTATCTGGGCTCAGGGCTAATAAGGGATGATGAGGGCTAATAAGCTAAAGCTCAACCCAGACAAGATGGAGGTGCTGTTGGTGAGCAGTTTGCACAGCTGGGAAATTTTCAACCTATCTTGGACAGGGTTACACGTCTCCTAAAGGAGAAGGTTCATAGCTTGGGGGTTCTCCTTTACTCCAAGCTGTAACTTGTGTCACAGGTGGCCTCAGGGGCCAAGAGCACCTTCTATCAGCTTTAGCTGATCATTCAGCTACGTTCCTACTTGGACAAGCAGAGCCTTGCCTCTGGTAACCTCCGCCTCAATTACAGTAATGCTCTCTATGTGGGGTTGCCTTTGAAGATGGTCTGGACTGTCCAGCTAACACAAAACAGCAGTATGGCTGTTAATGAGGACCGGTCCTAGAGAACCTATCACAGGAGTCCTTTGTCAGCTGCACTGGTTGCCTGTTGTCACCCAGGCCCAATTCAAATTGCTCACCTTAATATGTAAAGCCCTATCTGAAGGAATTTCTGTCTCCATATATCCCTTCGAGACCTCTAAGATCTTCAGTAGAGGCCATTCTCCATGAGACACTCCCAAGTGAATTAAAACAAGAGATGGGGAGAAGGGCCTTTTCTGCTGTTGCACCTTACTTATGGAACAGTCTTCCTAAGGAGGTATGTTTGGCACCCTTGCTATTGAACTTTTGCAACCAGGTAAAGCAGTTTTTATTTAGCACTTGTTTTTTAGTAAGTTATCTTAATTTTATTATTATTTGCTATCTGTGCTGTTTGCTTTGACTGCTGCTGTCTTGTATATCATACTAATTGAATTTTATGTTGCATACTTGATTTTATAGTTTTATTCTATTTATGATTTTGTCTACTTATGTTGACTGTTTTTACCCTCGTGAGCTACCCAGAGAGCCCTCAGACTATGGGGCAGCAGACACATGTAATAAATAGTAAATAAATTAAAATGTTGCACTTGAATTTCACTAATTGGAAATAGATCGATATAATAACTCAATAATATCATTACTATGAAATATTAATGTAAATAATGAATTCATGTGCTAAGTTATTTTGTCTGTAGGGAGACAGAATGGAGCACTGTGTTGAAATAATATTGGAAATACTGGCTGGTTGGAAAACTAGACAGAACTCCACCCTGCACCATTTTGTTGCAGATCTAATAGGTCTGTTCTAGCATTTGGTACATGTCTATTCAAGCAAGGTTTTCAGCCACATAGTAGATCATATATGCTGAGCCAAAACATGATATCACTTGCTACTTCATACTGTTTACTTCATACAACCTGTTATCTATGTTGTAAGCCGCCCCGAGGCTTCGGCGAATGGGGCGGCATAAAAATGTTTTAATAAATAAATAAATAAATAATAAATATTCGGGGATTTTTATAGTCCTTCAAGGTTTTCTAATTTTCGAGAATTTGTTTCGTAAATCCTTTTATATGGATAATTTTTAGTTCCAGACACCCATAGGAGAACAATATCTCCAATAACAAATCATAGTGTAACCTTTGCTAGTTTCACATAAGACTCTTAGACTTAAATCAGTATTCTCTCCCCCTTTCTCTTTTGCTAAGGCAGGGCTTTCATATTTGTTGTTGCTAGTTGTGAAGTCATATCCAACCCACTGCAACCCCATGAACAACATTCCTCCAAGCCTTCCTATCCTCCACCATCCCCCGGAGTCCACTTAACTTCACACAAACTGCTTCAGTGACCATCTAGCCACCTCGTGCTCTGCCGCCCCCTTCTTCTTTTGCTGTCAATTATTCCCAGCATTAGGGTCTTCTCCAATGAGCCCTTCCTTCTCATTAGGTGTTCAAAGTATTTGAGTTTCATCTTCAGATCTGGCCTTCTAAAGAAGTAAATTTGAAGGATTTCACAGGAAAGGCAAAATGTGTTATGCTAACAATGAAAGATAGCCGCATTATGAGATAACACAGGTACTGTTTTACAGTTATTTGTTCTGTTGTCCTTATTTTTAATCCTAAACCTCAAGATTGATAATATTTGTTCATTTTATGAAAGTATTTTGAAAAAAAATTCCAGATGAAATCTTTTGAATTTTAGAATGTTCTCTTGGCATCCTTCTTTTGTAGTTGTAATTCTAGTCATAGCAAATAGAGTTATTCTGAGATGACTCTTCTACATCTTTTACTTAAACATTTATAATCAGCATTATATTTACTGATGAAAAATAATGTTTTCTTGTTTTTCAATTCTAGGACTTGGAGAGCAGTCTAGTGCATAATATAATCAAGATCAGAAATATTTTTAAAGCAGCAGCACAATCTTAAGAAATAAAACACATTAACGTTCTGTTTCTTTGCTGCTGAGGTGAGCGTGGTAGGAGGAGGAAATGGCAGCAGGGATTAGAAGGGAATTAATGGGGGCAGAAGCAGTGGAGACCAGAAGAGGAAGAAGATGATGCATAAGAGAAGTGAGAATACTGAAAAAGGCAGGAATGTGCCTACAACACTCCCCCACCCCGCCACATGTGCTCATTTCTTCAAAAAGGTTGCCTACCTCTAGACTGTTGGAGAATTAGCAGCATCCACCTGAGTGGCCATTTCAGTGAGAAATCCAGGCCTGAAGCCAGATTGAAATGGATTGAGATAATCTGCATTATCCAAGATTACCTGCAACTTCATTCAAGCATCATGCTCGTGAAGGGGGTATTTGCAACCATATTATGCATGAAAGACAGACCTATGACATTTCCCAGCTGTGTGGATACATATCATCAGTGCTAATCAAAATAGTTTGTAGTTATACAGGAGGGAAAAGATAGTGTGGGGTGCAAATTTGCACCATAATTTTTTGCGGGGGGGGGGGGGGGGGGGAATCTCCCTTGAAGGCAAATGACTTCTTTAGCTGTGGCTTCAGTTTATTGAAATGAACAAGTCTTATAATGGCTCCGTTTAAGCAGACTTTGAAGTTTCAAATAAAGCAAGCCTGAATAACTTGAAAAATGTCAGTTTAGAATGTAAACTTCCCTCACCGATATAAGGGCCAAATATAAGACAACCCTTGAAACTGGAAATAGCGAGCCAAAAATCAGGAATTGTCTTATATCCTAGGTGAATTTTTTTCTTCATATTAATTTTATTGTTAATAAAAAGGGATGGATAATAAAGTAAATTGTATTTACAAGCTCAATTTTATCAACAACCATTAAAAAAAACTTATGGGGGAGCTTGATCTTGTATTGTGAATTTTGTGTGTGGCCACAGACCTGGTGAGAAGTCAGGCATCTACCTCGCCCCCACCAGGGCGTGCAATGTTTTGGGCTTGCTACAGCAGCTGAGAAGGGAAGCGTTGCCTGTGCAGCTATCTGTGAAAAGACATGCTGCCCATGCGGCCTCCTCCCTTTCACCCAGCCCTGTCCATGGCGCTGATGGTCCATTCTAACAGACCCCAGCCAGCCAGCCTCGCCAGCCACCATCATCCTCCAACTTCACAAAACCATTTCAAGTGAAATCAGGGGAACATGACTATAAGCTAGAATACTGTTGCATGATATCATGAGAAACTAAAAGCTTTCAAATGACAAATACACATACCAGCATGTAAGAGTCATTGAAACTTAAAATAGCAAAGTAAATTTGGGGGTCATCTTATATTCATGTCATACTGCAAACACCAGAAAAACAGCCCAAAATCTCAACCTTGTCTAACATGCAAGTTGCCTTGTACATTGGAAGATACGGTATATTAACAACCAGGGCTACTTCAGATTCCCATATCTGAGGTGAAAAATAGAGCTCCGATTTCAGAGATGGGAATTTAGAATTGAATTCCACCCCACTGGCTGCCTCTCCAGCATTGCCAACTTGACCTCAGAGAAGCCTTAAAGGAGAGGAAGAAAACCGCAGAAATCAGGATATGAGCTATTCTGTATCCTCTGCAGCCTTGCCCTCTAAAATGCCCCTGTTAGTTGGCCAAAAATGGCAGTCTTGTGAAACTGCAGAGTTGGAAGTGTGGGAAGGCACCTGCTCTGCATACAATGCCTGTTAACCTCTTGAGTTCAGATGGTTTGAACAAAGGATTAACCCATTGGAATACATTCATAGGAATATGAGTAATCTAGCTCATAGGAATTCATTCATAGGAATTAGTATGGCCCAGTTCTCTAAAAATGATAGAAGAAACATTACTTCTTGTACTTTCCAGACCAGCACATATGCCCAGATAACTGCCATATGGGTCTTGAGTGTCTGAGTAAAAGCCTTGAACCCATCACATGATGTTCTGATGTTCATTAATGGGAAGCGAGAAATAATAGCTTTGAATAATAAGTTTTATTAATGTTTCTTTTTAAAAGGTACATGGTAATCCTGAGCTACTGTGTTTGTACATTTAACATTATACAAAGACTTTCATTTACAGTTTGAAGGATACATTTATTGTGCTCCAAATCCTCATCCAAGCATCACTTTTCCCCCACACAGGAATACAGATCATTGAAAATATTATACACAACCCTGGAACATCCACATTAATCTAACTTCTTGACCCCACTGTCTAAGAACTACTTTAATCTAAAGAACTCACGGAATTCTGAATTTAGAAAAACACTCTATGTAAAATTTCAAAGATGGGCAGTGCAATAACTGGTCCCCATAATCCTTTTTTGAACAGACCTTAATAAAATTTTCTTTAGTTTTTGTATCATTAGATTAGTTTTTAATGTACTACTGATCAGCTAGACATTGATGGAATGATCAGAGTAACTACTCTTATTTATTTCATATCAGTTAGTGTAAAGCTATAATATCTCCCTTTTCAGTGACAAGAGAATTCTCCCATTGTGGAAAATAAACCACGATCCAAGCAAACTATGAGGTAACCCAATATCACCCTATAGTCGTCCAAATGTATAAAACATGTCATATCAAATACTTCCCTTACTTAGACCCTGTAAAGGAACTCATAGTACAAATAACCGGAGATAAGTTCCATAAATCCAATCATGGCTTTGCCTGTAAAAAGATAAAAAATATTAAGTCCCAGGGTCCTTGAAATAAAGAATAATTACCTAAGTTGAATTTCAGTAAGGGATAAATGAATGTCTTTTTTCCTTTATCTGGATTACCAAAATATTGCATTTCTCAACCTGGACGTTTGAAAGCATAGTGTTTACAATAATGTCTCTCTAGCAAAAGCCCCACTTTTCAAAAACAATGCACACTTAGTAAAGACACTCTGATCTTAAGTAAAAGTTACAGTAAGCAGTTCAAGCAAAATGCTTATTGCTTAAAAATGTAAAGCAAGCTGCTTTGACACAGTTTTTTAAAAGTGTACATACAAACGTGAAGCAATTGTAGAAACACCTATAAACACATCTTGCTTTTGCGTACTTATCCTCAAATGGCACAGGCTGATGTTTAATATGGAAAAAAGAATACTGTAGGTTGGAACTGAGTTCAACACTACATTTTAAGACAGATGTTTGATAATGTAAACAAAGCTTTAATACTCAGAGCTTGGGAATCTAGCAGCAAAACAAACTATTTGCATATAATGTAGTGCAATGAACATTTGTTCTTAAAGGATCCCCAGCCTTAACATTATTTGTAATGAAAAATTCAAAAGGAAAAAGGTTTAAATTACTCAGCTCATATCATTATCAGACCCTCCAGAAAGCTTCATTTTCTACATAAGATACCATTAAGAGTTTATGCAAAACTGTGCTCTGGATAACTGACTTTTATGGCTCCCCAATAGCAGGCTCGAATTAGGCAGACCAAGCCTAAGAGGTAAGCAATAGCCCAAGAAACATATGTGGCATGAAAATTCCTGGCAAAATCTTGTGTACCAACCTATTTAAAAACAAGAATGGAAAAGCAGAAATAATTAATACTTGGAAATTAAGGCTTTGTAGTGAACAGTTTAAATTAATCTCAAAAATTTAAGAGAAATGTAACCTGAGTACAGCCTTCTGATGCAATTACAATCTGCTATATCTGAACTCATTTTTGGAACACAAAGGCAGCTCTGTCCTAATCACATCTCTAAAATCTGTTGCTACATGAAGAATAGTAATTCTGCACTCCTTAGCAATATACCAGTATTTAAAAGATGTTCATAAAGGATCTAGTGTTCTATGAAAAATACCAATTACAGTCTGAACAACAGAAGAATGTTAAAACTGCTGGAGGAAAGTGCACAATCAGGAAAACTTACTAAAGGTGCATTACTGTGTGTGTTTAGAAAGAAAAGAAGGCCTGCAACTGGCTGGAGCATGATGGGGGTTGTAGGTTTTTTTTCTGACTGAACATGCATAGGATTTCACTTTTATTTTTTCTTAATTTCCCCATAAAGAATGTTGTTCTATAACACACTTAACGTTATGCCAAGTGCAACCTGATTGCTACATAATTTAACTTTCAGTGAAGAAGTAAATGAGAACACTTAAGTATGTAGTCCTATCCATGTTTAGACAGAAGGAAGTCATACTACTCTCAGTGTTCTCCAATCAGCATCCTAAATTCGCCTGTCTCTACAAAGGAGAAAGCTATCACTATAATAATCCAGATCCTTTTTTACCTCCTGAGGAATACTATTCTTGCTATATTTCTTTGAAGAGGTGCAGAAATGTACAAAAATCAAGTGTAAAAATGTGTCCTTTTTATGTAATCACTAATATAATCAGTATCTTTTACTGATTTTATTTTACTGTTCCAGAAACCTTGTTACTAAGTCAACCGCAGTGGTATACTAACCAAACATTTTACCCATAATTTCTTCAGCACTTAAAAATAACACAGAACCCATTGCTTTTGATTAGCTAGAATGTTTTATTTTTATAGTTTTATATTTTTCTATATAACACTGGGCTCAGACAGTGAGATTTGTAGTGCCTCAAGGTCTCGCTTCTCTAATTTTGCAGTCCTTTGCAGGATAGCAGTTGCCCATTCCAGCAGTTCCTGGATAGGATGGTCCAGATTTACTTAGCTTAGTTCCACTGAAATCATTGGGACATTTTAATGGATAACTGAAATCCCATTGATTTAAGTGGATTTACCCCAGGTATGACTGGAACCGATCCAGTACATTATATTCCATCCGTAAGAAACAAATTTGTTAAAATCCCTTTCACAACAGTTTATATCCCCATAAGATAACCAATTTGAGGTGAATGCTTCTTGCATCTGATGAAGTGGACAGAGTCCATGAAAGCTTATGCCAAAATAAATGAATTTGTTGCTCTTGAAAGTACCACAAGATGCTTAGCTGTTTTTGCTGCAACAGATTAACATAGCTATGCCTCTGGACTTTTTATGTGGCTTTTGTTTCTATGTTTAGTTTGCTTTGAAATTACAAAGCAAATGGCAAGTGGTCCTTTCAGCATAGGAGTCATATTTGCCTATATTTTCAGTCCAGCTTCATGCATGTTTCTTCTGAATTCTAAAATAGTGCAGAAATATCAAGGGAGGGATTCATATGACATGGAGCACAAATTGTTCATAAAATACTTTCCCATGGCTAAAGCTCCCTTTACAAAACATTAAATTAGAATAAATATAAATGCACGCATCTGTAAACTATTTGATAGTACCTAATTGATTCTGATTTTGATCAAAATAGAAGCTGAGGAAGCTAAGAACCACATTTCTTTTGCATGTCAGAAACTCTGCACTTCCTTTCTTTTTACTTACATTAGCAAGGGGGAGAGAGTCTGTATGTACAAAGAATTCCCACTCCTATGGCTATATGATAATTTGGGGAACTCATTCAGCTTTATTAAATAACTTCCTCACTGTTAAGGGGGCTTCAAAAAGAAAATGGGCCTCATCTGGAAAGCCTCAACTACATGAAACAATGACGAACTCATGTCTTACCATAATCACATGTTCTTTGAGCTGTGTGTGGGATGGAAATGCTGAATCTGTCACCTATCCCTCTCACCCCTGTTGAGCCCCAAGACTAAAATCCAGCTCATCAGGCAGAAAACATCTGAGGCATGAGATGCATGTGCGCAGGGAAACAATATAGTCTTCTGCAGTTTAAATTACAATGACATTCTCTGTGTAGTTTTGACTGGGGCAGAACCATGTTCTAAGATGTGGGTCACAGGTCTGTAAGTGCAGCTGGAACCGTACTAAGACATGCTTCCTAATAATGCACCATAATGTATTTTCATGTGCATTTGTTTATCAGTTCCCTATTTTTACAATGAAGCAGTGATTCCGAAATTTTGAGGACCCTCCAGTTGCCAAAGTACTACTGGTTCTGTTCAACTGTAGGATATTTTTCTTATACTTGTTGTTTCTACATTTTTATAATTCTCCAAAGCTAAAACTATCTGGATGATTTACAAAACTTTAAACTTTAAAAATGCAAAACATAATACAAAAACATGTAAGGACCTCAACAATTAAAATCCCAAGATTGTTTTAAACCTGATCATACACTATGAAATGCCTGGGAGTAGAGGAAAACAGCGCTGAAAGGATGACATTCTTGGTGCCAAGCAGACCAATGTGGATAGAGCATTCCACAATCAGAGCCATCACCAAGAAGGCCTTCCTTCTTATTGCCATGCTGTGCATCTCTTTAAGAGGAGGCACTTGGAGCAATGCCTTAGATAATTATTGTAGCATACAGGTAGGTACAGCAGGAGAGGAGAGGTGCCCTGTTAAGCACTTTGGTCCCAAATACCACCCCAAATTGGATTCAAACATACATGCAGCCAGTGCAAGCAGATCAGAATTGATGCTCTATGTTCAGATCTTCTGGTCCCCACAATCAGTTTGGATGCATAATTTTGCAGAAGCTGCAGCTTTTGAACCATCCTTAAAGATGTTTCCCTTGATACTAATAATGATAATAAATTTGTTACTTACAGTTAACCCCACTCCAATGAAGATAAATATCATTCCAATGGTAATATATGCACAGCACCGCCGTCGTGGGAGTGCACATCCAACAGAAGAACTGTAAATAAACAGCATGCCAGGTCCAGCATTAAATACAAAACCCGTTTTGACATGCAATTTTGAATATTAATTAAATTGTTCATAATTACATCACAGTTTAAATTTGACAGATTCTTGGATTTCAAAGTTACAGCACTTTCTGATCCCTAAGAAAAGTAAACCACAAATCTAAAATATTTATAGATGTCCCCAATAAAATTCAGTCCATCAATAACAACTCTAAAATTAGTAGCCTGACATGTGACTGACCAGAAGCTCCAAGGCTCAAGATAGCTAAAAGAACAGACAAACCCACACGGCCAGTGTGTGACTAACTTTTTTTCTTTTAATCTTTCTGGAATGCATTTAAATTTATTGGCTTAAGCAGCTTTAGTACAAGGTATTTCCATGTTTTCAAACTAAAAGCTGAATTTCCCTGGTGTTGCTTATTGAGGCTTTCAGTCTGTACCCCAGGCTTTCCTCTGTTCTACTGATGAAATAAGCTTCCATCAACCATGAGAATTTTGCAGATATGTTACTGCTATTTTATATGTTACTTTTACTTTTGACATGAAGCATATTTCCATGTTGAAAATGTTTAACATGCATCAGACTTTGTGAAGGAAAGTACAGCACTTGCTTTTCACAGAAGTCCTTCTGTCTTCTACTGCCAGGCTTAGTATTTGCGCATCCCATGGCACCCCCTTCCCCCAGTGAAGCCATCACTATTCTCTTAAAACCTGCAGAAGGCTCAGACACACTCAGCCATACACCTTCTAACCTAGAATATGTTCAGATACACTGTGGTAGTAATGAATATGTTCCAACCTGTTTATAGCTGGAAAAGGATAAACTACCAGTACATATATATGTGGTTAAAAGGTAAGAGAATATATTTGCGCAATCACTTTCTCTGTACCACAGAAAAACTGGTGTTGCGCTGGTTTAATTACCATAAAGATAATATGTGGACCAATAGAAACACGAGCTTTAGAAAACCCATTTATTTGCAAAAATTGAATAGTACTAAGTTTTCACCTATATCATTGGCTATTACTACTTCTTTTCCAGGGAGATCCTTTTCTTTGATTTTGGAGGGGGATTCTTTCTAAGCCTATTAGGGCACAATCCTATACATGCTTAAATAGAAAATGTTCTACACCTTCCATCAATTTAATAACTCCCAACAACTGAACTGCTGGCTGGGACATACTAAGGATTGTAGGACTTTTTATGTCTAAACATGGATAGGATCGTACTGCCTGTCATCTTGAAGAAGAATTTCACTAAGTAGTTTTATTAGAACAGTGTGAGCATTCTCAAAGTGATGATCATGAGAGCATTTCATTAACTGAAAAAGAACTGAATTAACCTCATAGATATTCCATTTTAAGTTAATATTGCATTGAAGAAAGCAGTGTGTGTATTGGTTTTATACAGATAAATGAGCCACTTGTTTTTTGTTGCCTATCTTTCCCAAAACTGCTATTAAAAATGTTTCCATTTAGAATGAAGTAGGGTTTTAGACTATGTTAAATCAGGATCTATTCATTTTTAGCAAATATTTCTCTTTACGGAGAACCTGCTTCCTCACCAGTCACTGACTATCCAAGCATTTAAGATCAAGCAAGAATTTTCAATAGCTCTTGCCTCAGTAAAGAGAGAAAGGACAAAAGAATGGTCACTTGACATTCATTAGAACCATTTTTAGATATATATATACACACATACGTTTATGCATAAGGACTGAGGTCTAATATTTGAAATAGATGTATACTTATAAATATGAGATTAAAAGAAAGATTTGCTGGTACTTACATTTTTTTGCAATGTGGGCACTTTGCCAAAGTGTTGAACCTCAGTTCCATCCACTGTAGTTAAAAAAGGAGGGGAAAGTGTTGAAAAAATGCCAGCATGAATAATGTTTTATTTTGCTTCAAGTTAAATGTCACTGGGGATCACAGCAGTGTATTTTTCTTCTCATGCTTCACTACATTTCATTCCTTGTTTTCGTCACTGGGATGCCCTTTTGCAGGCATTATCTCCACACTCTGTGGTTTGGGATTTCCATGCAAAATAATTTCCCATGACTTGCTAGTTATAAGGTTGTCTGATGTAGTATAAGCTGTGTTTACAAATGGTTGCAACAGCACTTTGATGTCATTACAAAAGCTATTACTCTTTCTGTGAAACTAAGGGCATTAAATCACTATACCTGTACACTTTAAGCAGTTCTTGATCCTTCATTCACCATAGCTTATTAGCTTATTAATCATTGCAACGGCTTACAAAATAAGGGCAGAGAAGGAAATTAAAAGAGGGAGGAAATGACAAAAATTGCTAAAGCTATTTTGTGTCATATTGCCCCTTTCAAAAGTTACTAGAAGTTTACTGAATGACTTGGAAACATTCAACTTTAAAGTAGAGCATTTACTGTAGTAATGTTCATTGTTGAAGTCTGAATCAGTAAAAAATGTTTGTCACCACTTTACTTTCTCTTTTCAAAGTAAGAATGTTATATCTTTGGTATACAAGGTTCATACATATGTAGGCCTAATTCATTATGAATAAGAAACAGTACCATGTTTGTAGAAGTAAGTTACCAGAAACACAGATACTTAGCCCTGCAACAATTCTGGGTGGGGGATTACACTCACTTGCCTTTCCTAAATGATTGCTTTGGTCCTGTGACTGTTTGAGTGCAGATATAGCTCCTGAAGAAATTAAGATCAGAGTATTATGTGTTGACAGAATGTGGTTATCCTACCTTTTCATGTTGAACTGAGTTCCAACAAGCCTCACACGTCTGCAAATTGAAGTGGCACAGGACTTCTGCTCTTTGAACAGAAGTCTTATGCCACATAACTAACAGAAGGGATTTTCCAAAAGCAAAACCCATTCATTACAGGGAACTATTATCACAGGCAGTCCCCAGGTTATGAACAACATCCATTCCTGAGAACGTCTTTAAGTTGAATTTGTATGTAAGTCAGATCGCATATGTAGGGTTTGTATTTAGCATGAATAAGTTAAATGTTTGTTTTAGTATACATATATATTTTACCTTTCTATGCACATAAAAAAACTGAAGAAACAGTTCCATATACATTTTCAGGGGTTAGGGACACAAGACTCCTGTGAAAGTAGAAAAAATGTGAAAATCTCTAGGTCCCCTCCAAAGTTTAACTCTTAATACTGTTGACCATACATGTAGTAGATTGTCTCTCTCTCTCTCTCTCTCTCTCTCTCTCTCTCTCTCTCTCTCTCTCTCAGACCTTGGTCTGATCCAGCAGGGCTTCTCTTCTAAATTTATTGCATTCTTATGTTCTTATACCTGCCCTCCCTTTCACTCTCCAGCACCTCCTCTTTGCATCAAGGAAATGCCAGAGGGGTTTCCCTCACTGGATGATCAGGACAAAAAGGCTTTGGAAACCTCCCTCTCTCCCTTTTCACTTTCTCTCTCTATGAAGATGATGATTTTCCACAGGAGGCCACAAAACTCCAAAAGTTCCCAGGCTGATTACTACAAATAATTTGCCTTTAACTTCAACTTTTAAATTAATAAGCTTTATGGCAATTCATGCCTAAGTATAGATGTTTGTAAATTGGACCTTCATCACCCAGGGACTGCCTGTATTTTACATTTATATCCTACCAATTTTTTTCCTCTTGTGAGAAATCCAAGGTGACTTACGTAGTCCTTCACTCAATTGTATCCCCACAACAACCCCATGAGGTAGTTTGGGTTGGGATTGAGTGTCTGGCCCAAATTTCCTCAGTGAGCTGACAGGAAATGAGAACCTGGATCTCCTCTGATCATCATACCACACTGAGTCTCAGTTCATGGTTTATGCTTGCATCTTTTTTAAAAAATAAAAAAGATGCCTCCACTTTGGTTTGGGACCACTGTGAGAATGATATGGAAGGCTAATCTGTTCTTCCTAAACTACAGTCATGAAAAATAATTTCCAAAAAGTATTATTGTCTATAGCAGTGGTGGCAAACCTATGGCACGTGTGCCACAGCAGGCATGCAGAACCCTCTCTGTTGGCACTCCAGCCAGTTTGCACCAGCATCACCCCAGCAGCTGAGCATTGGAAAACAGCACACATAGGGGCCATGTGCATGCTCAGAAAGGAGTAGCAGTGCCAGTTGATGACGTCACAAGCCGCGACTCATTATCTGCAACTCACCCGAGCTTTAGCATGGCTGGTCAGTGTGCTGCCAAGGAGATATATATATCTCCAGTGTGCCAGTGTGGTGTAGTGGTTAAGAGCATGGGACTGGGACTCAGGCGATCTGGGTTCTAGTCCCTGCTCAGCCATGGAGCCAACTGGGTGACTTTGGGCCAGTCACAGACTCTCAGCCCAACCTACCTCACAGGGTTGTTGTTGTGGGGATAAGATGGAGGAGGAGATGTAAGCTGCCTTGAGTCCTTTGTAGGAAAAAGGCAGGATATAAATCAATCAATCAATCAATCAATCAATATTTGCTTGGACTGGCTGTGAGTTGTTTTTTCTATACTAAAACCTCTGTTTTCAGGTTTTATTGCAGTGTTGGCACTCTGTGATATATAAGCAGGTTTTGGGTTGCAGTTTGGGCACTCGGTCTCTAAAAGGTTCACCATCACTGGTCCATAGCAACTTCAGAGAAGCTATTTTTGGCAGGACTGCAGTGTGACGAAAGCCCATTCCCACCAAGTTCATAACTCTAGATTACCCATGTGATGTAAGTATACACCACATATTTAGCTTGGTTGTGAGAAGAACAGCTGTGAGGGAGTTTGGGCAACAGCAAAAAATTAAGCAATACAGATTGACAAACATGTTTGCTTGGTAATACTTCTGTCTACCAGGAGTTCTTTTCTCATATCCTGCTTGTGGACTTCCCACAGGCATTTATCTAACCAATGTAAGAATAATGTGCTAGCTTAGATAGGCTTTTAGTCTACTCCACCCTAACCTCTGACTACTTGTTCATTTATTCCAGTTTTGCCTACTCTGAGTGGTTTAAACAGATGTTCTTCACACTATTTACAACCCTCATCCTCTTACCTGGAGATGCCAAGCACAAACTATGGCAATTCTGCCTGCTTTGCATATACTTGACCATTGCACGACAACCCCATCTCATCACAGACTTATGGCATGTCCATTGAAAACAAAAAATGGATCTTTGATGAAAAGCTCACATTTTATTAGAGGGCCAACTCTAGATGGAATGAACAATTGTATTAACTAAGAGACACTACGAAGTGGTAAAATGGAGTTCAGAAGGCTTCGATGAAAGTGGTTTTCTCCCTTGCGGGCACATTGCGGCACATCTTGTATAAGACAGCAGCAATAAGGTGGTTGGTCCTTTGTGTGGTGTACACTGATTGCACTTACTAGGAATGTGTTTCCACAGTGCCCACATACTACTCTGGTGCCTTCAGGCTGAACAGGTATTGCTGGCTGTGCTGGCTGCTCCTCCGGAATCAGCATAACTGGACCAAGATTAATGATGCGCCTACTATAGGAAGAAAAGTAAGGAGGGTTGTTCTTTATTTATTGGTATATAAATAGTATAAATAGCACAGAGAAAGAGAACTCCGTAGCCAAGTATCTTTTACAATTTGGCCCACCTAAATTGGTTGGGTCAAAATGCAAAGCAAACATGCTAAGATACAAAATAACTCATATATGACCATTCCACTAATTCACTAAATGCTTTTCCCCATTGGTAGGTTCTGCCCCTCTAGAGACCTGAGTGCTTTGTGCTAGGGATTGCTCTGATCAGAAAAAGCATTCTGAGTTCCTCTGTTTCCCAGCAGCACTATTGGTTGCTTGAAAGAGCAAACAAGGAAGGGTCCAATTTTAGGAACAAAGTTACAAGGACCCCATCCACATTATCAAAACAACCCTGGGATGCAGCACTTGGCCAGGTGGAGTTTGAATATTCAAGCACTACCTGTGGCTTGTCAAGTCATCCAGACCTAGGGACTATGGATTACATGAGGATTAAACAACCTTTACATGACTCTAGAACAGACCAAGGGTTATAAGAGACAACCCATGGTCCCTAGGTTTGGATGATGTAAGAAGCCATCCAAGCTAGGACTTGAATAGTTGAATATCCACCTACACATGCCACAACCTATTATTCTAGCTTCACTGTTTGTATACCAATTAGTCTCATATTTTCTCCCTTCACTTTACTTTTAAGTATATACTGGCTCATTGGGGCACTCTTAGTAGGGCGTAAGCTCCACATAATACAATAGGGATTGTTGCTCAGTAAATATTCTGTTCAGACAGAAAAAAGTGCTAGAAAAATGTCCTACAACTTGTATAGGAGTGTGTCCTTGCTATCTTTTTGACTGACATGATATTTCTTTCATGTTAGAAAGAATGAAATGAATTTTAGATCAACCTAACATTTCCATTCTTGGAAGAAAAGGATACAGAAAGAGTCCCATTATTACTAATATCCTACAAAGAACCCCACCCCACCCGTCTGGCAAATTTGACATCAATAGTGGCAGGAGTAAATATCTATTGTACTGTTTTTAAAATTTGATGTAGATATGCATGGGCTAGCAGACACAGATTTCTGAGAAATATTAAGTGAAACGGCTAAAAATACATTATATATTTACTTATTTCTATAGTTTATATCTCCACAATCTGACTTGTTTACAGAAAACATAGAATAAAAACACACACTGTAACTTCTTTTAGCTCTTACCAATTGGGTCTTGGACATCCTATTCTCTGTGATGTATCCTTACAGATAAGCAGACAATTACATGGGCATCTAACATACTTTTTCCCTGAAGGAGGGTTTTTGATTGGCTACACAAAACAAGAAAAAGAAATTACATACATAATGTTCTGACTATGAAACAGAAAAGAAAAAAAACTACCATGTTTAAAACAAAGCAACAGATACTCTACAGCTCCAGGTGAAGGCCCACACAATTATTCTTGGTACAGTTCAATTATTCTTGACCATTCTTGTTGATGGCATGTGCACATTTTAAATATTCTGTGGCATGGCTGTAGCAGTGCCCTTTTGTTACAGCCTTCACATTTTCTTTTGCTGTACCTTATTTTCATTCTTTGTTCGTTTGTTTTTTGTTTTGGCAACCATTCATATTAATAATGGCTGAGGATAATATGTTGCAATTTTCAAAATGCTGGATGTACAGAAATGCTTGTATGGCCTTATAAAATGTTTCTTTAAATGATTTACAGGCTATATTTCAGGGCTTAACTATCCTCCCAAGGTGGTACTGTAGTGTACAAAATTTCACTGAAAGTATAGATAATCATAAAATAAAACTTCAGTACACAGAAGGGAACAATGAATCCTTATACCTGGCAAAAAAGAAATATTACTGTTTCACATTTGAACATTTCCAAGAAAGGGGCCACACACATTTCCTGAGGAAGGGGAGAGTTCCATGGGTGTGGGACCATCGCTGAAAAACACTCATGATGAAGGCAGTGGACTGGGGTGCCCATCTCTTAAGATATGGAAATGGCTGGACCACTGTGATGCTTTGCTAGGGAAACCACCAAATAGAAGTGAGGGGAACTTCACTCAGACTGGATGAATATGTGGACATGTGACCAATTAGGTTAAGAAATGTGAAAACATAATTCCAAGACAACATGGAACTCTCTAGAAAAGCACCAATAATTTTAAGTCTGGTTTGATCAAGGTTTTCTGTGATCAAGCCTTATTTCCCGTAAGCTTCAGAGGCAAGAATTGATTTTTCTTTTGTGTGGGTTTTTCTAATCCTTCAGACATACCAGCTTCCAAAGTCAATATCCATTCCATTTATTTAAAAACTTTTATATCCCATTTTTCTTCCCTAAGAGTAGAGCAGTGTACACTAAAAACCATAAAACATTATACAGACAGTAACAAAACTCACAGCAACCAACTATCTAGGAGGGTTCAAGAGACTGGTTTTTTCCTCTTTGGTTTTACCTTCCTAATATTTTAAATTATGTTCTAATGTTCTGGTTATGTGGTAAGCTGCCTTGACTGTTTTAATGGACAGGTGAAGCATAATTGCTAAATAATTAATTAATTTCTTTTTTAAAATCAAGGAGAAAAACTTCTGGCAATGGAGGAAAAGCAGCAGGGCTACAACTGGTATATATAAGTATTCTGTGAAAATGGACTGAGTGACTTGTAGCTTTCCAGATGTTTTGACCTTCAACTCCCATCAGACCTCGTCAGCATTGTCATAGTTGAAGGATCGTGCAAGTACTAAATCAAAACATTCAGAGAGCCAGGAATGTCCCATCCCTGTGCTAACAGAATGATCAAGGAAAATGTAAAGCATTGAACAAAGTCTGCACATGCATGTTCAAAAACTCCAGGAGTGGAATGCCAGATGGGACAAACTAGCTTTGAGAATATGGTGATTCCATAAGCTATTTATTATACAATCCGTTACAAATTACTCAGAAAAGGCTATTACACTAGGTGCAAATGTTACTTTAGCTTAATATTTTTAGAATGTTTTCTCAACCAGGTAAAGTGCTAGACTATCTTGAAAATGTCATTAAACTAATAAAATGTAGAGCAATTTCAGCAACAATAGCAATAACTCTAAACAGATCTGCAGGTGCACCTGTCCACCATCCAGTATAGTCATACAGAAGCATCATGTGTGGAAAGACTTGAATGGAATAAATACTTGCTTGTACAGGAAGTCTTTGGACTGGATATTATGCATGCATTTATTTTACTTTGCTGCTGCGTTATATTACATTGAGATTTAAAGGAAAGTGTGAATAAGGTAGCTTTCTTCACCTCCTCCACACCGTTGTATAGTTTACCGATGCGGGTGCGGGGGAGGACTATTTAGTTGGATACCTAATGGTTTTGCATTATAAATAAAAATCTTCTCCAGTTCAAGTAACCACTAGTTGCCTCTCCAGATCAGAGGAGGAGGTGTTCTATGCTTGACAATGTCTACATGTATAGGAACTTGCAAGATCTGACTTTTCCATCCTACATGATAGGTTTATCATGGATATTGGTTTGACTCAGCAAAGATCTCAGTTTTTCATGGAATGACAAAGCCCAGTTATAACCCACAGATGGCATGTTCTCATGCAACAACCAAACCCAGACTGAGTCTGTTTCAACCACTGTACAGTTCCTCTTGCATATGGGAGCTAGCACTTTCATGCCTCAAATATACACAGACAGTGGGGTGGGAGAGCAAGAGTTAGATCTTCATAACTGTGTAGATATTTTTTCCTGATATTTTCCCTTAGAATGGCAGGTGGAGCTTTTACTAATTTTTGGAGGAAGGGCCTGAAGATGGTGATTTAGCCAGCTATATGCTACGTATAAGCCACTGCCACTATTGGAGAACAGGATTGTTCTCCAGAATACAGAAGATGTTGATGCTTTGATTGGACTACAGGCAGTAGCGTAATTCATTCCACGCCTCTTTACCTCCTCCATAAATGTGATGCCTATGAAGTACTCTGAAATATAAACTTAACTCACATGTTTTAAGAAATTACTGACAGAACAAGCTGCAACCTCTAAGCTCTAAATATATGATAGCTGCTCTGACAATTAGGAACACTATTAAAAATCTGATTCCTGGAACCCTAAATAATACTGACAAAATCTGATTATTCTTTGCTGCTAAAAGGTTAACTAACAGAGGCTTTCCATACTCAAGTGCTCCTTATAACTGCATGCAAGATCTTGGCTGCCAAGCAATAACTTTGGCATGCCCTTTTCCAAAATGGAAAGGATTAATAAGGCATGGCACAGAGCTAACAAGCTGTAAAACAATTTACCGTAGCTTCATTGCAATCTGTGCATTTGACAACATGCTGGTGAAGCTTCCCTTCCAAATTGATTAGTGATTGGCACACACGGCAGTTTATTACAGGAACACCACTGGCATCAGGGCTGGCAATAGCAGTATAAGGTGGAGGCAGTTCTGCTACGAAAGAAAACGGAAAATACATTAGAATAAGCAAAGACCTAGAAAGGTTGAAACTATCCAGGCAATGCAATAATTAAAGGCAAGTATTAATGTCAAGTCACACACAGCGAACATTCAACTAATAGTTCACAAAGCCTTGCAGTTAACTCACTTGTTCATGATGAAAAGTAGTTCCTTTCAGTCAAAGAACAGATCACTAATATTCAGGCTACACCATTTCAGGATTCATTCCACAATTTGATGTAATTGAAATAAAGTATAAATAAAGTTAACCTCCTACCAAACTTTGCGAAAGGAAGTGCAAAGAAAATGTTAGCAGATTTACGAAACCTCTCTAAGGAAGAAGTAGTAACATCTTGAAGCTGAACTGCATGCTTCCATGTACCTAATTAATCTATCCACAAACTTCCGACTCTCTGCTTTCTAATTAAATGGTGGATCCTAAAACACATAGTCCTGCAAGTACAAGAACTCTCATAGTACCACACAAACTGCATAATCCCTGTATGTTGGAATTTTAAACTGTTTGAAATTTGTATCTTAGAATTTTATAATATGTTTATATTATCTGTTTTAATGTATCTTTTTATTGTACTTTGAGAGATTTTTGTGACACACCCAGAGAGCTTTGGCTATTGTGCTGTATACATTTAAAAACAATGTTCATTTTCAGCATTCTGAATTAGTTGTGTCCTAGGAGGAGTGAAGTATATAATTTTTCTGAACAGCTGAATAAACTTTTAAGCACAATATCCTCAAAACAGGGTATTTTCTAGTTCCTGCTAACAAGAACTGACACAGAGAGTACAATAACCTCCTGCTGGCTTAAAAACCCATAGGTTATTGTGCACAGGCAGGTGAAGTACCACACAAGCTGCTGTGCAGTGTGATGTGGAAACCTGGACCACTGGATTGTTTAGGGGCTGAATAATCCAGCAGTTAAGGCAACAATAACCACTGGTTTGCTTAGCCCCTAAAAGTTCCAGAGGCCAGGGACTGTACATCATGCAGCACAACCTGTGAAGGAACTGATCACGCACAATAATGCATTTTTTGTTAAACCAACAGGTTATCCACCATTAAAACCAAATATATATTTATTGTTAGATTTATATCCCACTTTTTTCTTATAACAAACTCAGAGTGACTTACATTACTCTTCTCCTGCTCTCAATCTTATCCCCACAACCAGAATGCATAAAAATCAATGATTGTTTAAATAAAAAACAGGTCTTTTATTTAATCATATTTTATTTAAATCAGTTTAAATTGCATTTTTGAGAAAAACTCTATCTAAGGATAGTTTATTAATTAAGATACATTATAGTACAAAGTTATTAATCATGAAATAAGGATTAGCTTTTAGTTATGTAGCATGAGGCTGTATATTCATGCAGTGTTTAAATTTTTTGGTAAATGAATTCCATTAATCCATTCACAATTACATGCTCTTCCAGGGGTTTCTGTAAGATTATTGGGCAATTTTTCTGTCTGGAAGATATTATCACAGATACTTGGTTTTACAGTTCTCAAAACTGTGAATGTGTGTCTGCAGGGTTCACATGCCTCTTCTTCACAGAAAAATATTATAAAATAAACATACAGTTGAGGAAAAGGCCTTAACCCATTGTTCATTTGAAAATCTATATACCCAGAATCCACCCCTTATCTTTTAAGGGTTAAGTTTCAAAAACTTTAATTAATAGAAAAAGATTGTTTAGAGTGGAATAGATTTGCACAAGAAGTTAAGTATGCAGCATGGTAAATGATCAAGTATTATCAAGTGGTAAAAATGGAAGTGAAACCTTCTGAGCAGAATATTCAACAAGTCTTTGGATTTTTTTGTGTATAGCCTGACGTTTATCATACTATTCTTTCTCTGGAGAAGAAAACCTATAATGGCAGCAAGCCAAAACAGAGACACGGTTTGGAAATATCTTAATTACGTTCTTTTACTTAAGGATAAGGCATACATGCATGCATATTATGTAGGAAACCATTTTAAAATCTAGTCTGACTGGGGATTTCAATTCAAATCCATCCTGCCCACAACAACAGCCTTGTGAGGTAGGTTGGGCCGAGAATCTGTGACTGGCCCAAAATCACCCAATTGGTGCCATGGCCAAGCAGGACCTAGAACCCAGATTGCCTGAGTCCAAGTCCCGTGCTCTCAACCACTACACTGGCTTCAAAGGGAGCACTGGTTGTGCTCTCAACCACTACACTGAGTTGTCGTTAGGTACAAACCAAGCCCTAAGTGCAGTATTACTTTATAACTGCAACATTTGCATTTTGTGCAAGGCTGTAATATCTTCTTTTTCTCCCTGAAGTTGTCTACATAAATGGTTAGAAAACTAGAGCATGAGAATGTAGGACATCCCATCACTGTGCAAAAAAGCAATATGATGTGACAGATGAGCTTCAGTAACACTACAAGCATTTTTCCAACAATGTAAACAAATACAAGCAGTGGGCCAAATGAATTGTTAAGAGGCAGGGTGTAGGAGGCAACTCAATGTCATTAGATCAGGTTTTATGCCAAGCGTGGTTAAAAATACATACCCAAACAGCAAAACTCTATTGCAGGCCAGCCAATGGGACCTCGACAACCAGGAATAAGGAACACCCTAGATTTCATAATCTATTTACCCAACACTAAAAGATTGAAAAAATCCCAGAAAAACAAGAAATGGTAAAACATTTTAAAATATGGGAAAAGGCAAGGGCCATGCTAAAGCAGAGCTGGGCAAGTTTTGGACTTCAGCTCCCCAGAAGCCCCAGTACGGCCAACAGTCAGGAATGGTGGGAGTTGGAAGTCCAACACATTTTGGAGATCTATTTTCTGCCCATCTCAGCACTAAATGGAGGGCCACAAATGAAGTGTGGCACACTGTGGCAGTGTGTTACTTGGCATGGTGAGCCAGGCTTCTCGCTGTGTGCCAGTGTATGCAGACTATTTACTCCCACTTGCATCCATCCACTAATGTGAGCAATTAAACTAGAAACTGTTTGGGGCTTCTTGAATCTGGTTTGTTG